CGGGTTATGACCTCATTTGGTTCTGAGGTCAGTTGGTCTTCTGACAGCTGTATTTCAAAGAATGCTTTTCCCTTAGGAATTATAATTTTACATTCTACAACACAAAAATTATTTTCATTATAATTCTTTGTTATTGCAGGGCTTTACTTTTTACTTGAAATTTATGTTTCTTATCATCAACCACATTATATTGATATGTGTTTATGACAAGGTTGACAACAGCTATATTTTAGTGAAGCCGGAAAGTCGCCTTTTGATATAAGCAAACACAGTGGCATGTCTTTAAGCCCAACATTAAAAAAAGTTATGAAAAACCAAGACATTTTTCTGGTCAGGAGCACTTAGACTTAAGAAAATTGAATTTTAACACTTAAATTGTTTAGACTATTATTTTAGTGCCATTATGTAATGTGAAAATATTATTTCTGTACAAATGTAGGTGATCTGTTAATGTTTATTTATAGTACAAAGAGAAGTTGATTCCATATTTTCTGGATGTATTGAGGGGTTTACCAAAGGCTGAGTGGCTAAGTGTGCCTGATGGCATCAATGTTTACAGTGAGTTGATACTCTTAAGCTATGATATATTTTACTGCATCTCTTATTCAGTATTCAATGAAGTTTATTAAAGACACTTTCAATTAATTTAGTAAAATACAGGCACTTGTTTAATTTCTTGCCTAAAGTGTAGATAAATGGCATGTATTATAATTACAAAAACTATATGAACCATGCCCCTAGAGTCAAAATTGACCTGCCTGTATGAAAATGGGCTGTATTATGTGAAAGCCAATGGCTGTTGTGAGCCCCCTCCAGTTTTGTTCAGAGCATATGTCTGTAATGCATAGAGGGATTTTATATTATAACTAGAAATTTTCACCATCATGCCTCATGTATGAACCAGGTCTCGAAGTAAAATGTTAAGATCACATTTAGAGATCAGAAGAAATGCTTGTTTGGATCAAATTAACTATACACAGAGGAATTTTAATATAACTTGGCACAAATGTTGATGAGAAACAAAATTGTACATAGCCTATATGTAACATCTGCAAAATGCAGGACACTGCAGCTTTTGTGTTGGGCATATTTTGCTACAACGGTACCCTTGTTTGTGTATAAAGTGGCCCGTCTCGATTAAAAATTGGAACTGTCCATTGTAAATTGTGACAAATTTATATTAACAAGGGCTACATTACATCAAGACTTTTTGGATGAACAAAACAGCCCAACACCTAAATTTTGAGTGTTTTCCAGACAACAAAGATGTAAATGCTGGCATTGCTCTTTACTTGAAAATTTTCTCTAAAAATGATAAAATGATCTTGTCCTGATTGAAAGATGGACAGGTGTTAAAGAGTTAGAAAAGAGAACATGTATTTTGTTAAACATATTTCAGGGCTACCTCAGGCTGAATGTTTCAGTTTTTCTCTCAACACAATACTCAGTGATGTGGCATTACAAGACTCTGAGTCCAGAGACAAGGTCTGTTATAAATTACATTATCAGTGAGCTCTTCAATTTATTTTAGGTCATTTTTGTTAAGTAAATTTGCTATAAAATCATTATAAAGTGTGATTGATATATAATGCTACTTTTGGACTATTTGGACTATTTTTTTGCCAGTACTTTTTTTGTAGAATAGATGAGACTACCGACATGTTTAATATTTATGTTAAGGATTTGTCCATCTTTTATTCCATGTAGTAATTTTTTTTTCTAATTTGGTACAAAATAAATACAGATAGATTGCCTTTTTATGTTACTTATATATGTATGCACATGAAAGTTTTTAATTCAAGTAATAATTTAGTATGTACTCTATATATTCACTTTAGATAATATCTACCCAGTTGGAGGTGATGGAAACATTGTGTTCAATGTGTGAAGGGAAGAAAGAAATATCTAAAAGTAATATAAATGTTGTTATTTTCATTTTATGCCCCTGTACATATAGTATTTGAACTGTACTGTACTGTTGTATACTATAACTATACCGTTTGTCTTTCTAAACTTACATTTGGATACTTATGTACAGTTAACTGTACTTTCTCTTTGATGACATTCATTCAGTAAGGCTTTTATGTGGCTATTTTTCTTTATGTGGCTAAACAGAACAATATAGTAGCCTCATAAATACTGTCTCATTACACAGTCTGTCTGTCTGTCTGTAGAGGTTAACATAAAACGGCAAGTTGATTTGTCTTATGTTCTACATGTACCAATGACTACATAATTTACACACTTACTAATCAATACAAAGTACATGATCTTTGCAAGTTACATAACTATGGCTTCTATTTTTGAATAGTCCAGCATACAGCCCTGCTGACAGACCTTGTAATTATTGTGTTAAAGTAAAATATGTATGCTTACCTCAAATAGTTTCTTGTTTCCTACAGATATGCTATGCAGTTGTATTGTTCCGATCATGTTAGGACTTGGTCGTGCTCTAGGCAGGTCCAGTGACGAGCGGGAATCTCTTATATCTCAACTGTTTGCCCCTGACAAACCTCTACCATGTCAACCAACACCACAAGTTAAAGATGAACGTGGCAAAAGTTTCACATCGTTTAGACCAATTTTACCAAGGACGTTATCTACTCATATGATTGGGACACCAGACACGCCCTCGACTCCCTCGGGACTCTCAGATTATTTTGACACACAAAGGGAGCGTACACCTTCACCAAACTTAGCTTCCCCTGTGAAGACAGCATCTCCACCTGTGAAGATAGAAAATCCAGACTTAAAACTGATATATTTCAATAGATGGGGTTCAACATTTACAAAGATCCGTCCTTGGGGGTTTGAGATTATACCAGAGCAAGAACATCTTGTTTTTACAATCAACCATTTACATAAGCTTTTCGATATTGTAAGTGATATTCAGTCTAATAGTAGAGCATTTCAGAATCTCAGTAACAGATAATAATCTGCTATTTTCAAATTTCATATACAAATTTCACATAAGTTCAGACAGTGGAATTTTTTGTTATATGAGTTGTGTCTGTAAAATCATGGATATATTTGAAAATCACTCAGTGACTGACTTCTGCATGGTAAAAAATGTGTTTAGTTATTTTTCTAAGGTGAGCAATTATAGAGCAATAATGGCCCTCTTGTTATAAATGTGAACACAGCTATAAAAACTGTGTGTTTCAATTTAGATTGCTATATATGTAAGTCTTAAGTTATAATAAAGTGTATATTATTCATATTTAGGCCAAGGTGCTGCTAGATAAGGCACTGTTGAAAAGACTTGATGATTTCCTGGAAGATGCACATTCTGAAAGCGAGGTAATTATATATATATATATATATTCTTAATATATACAGTGCAACCACTGCAGATCAACAACCTTTTTGTAAGACAAAACATTGAGAAGATGTCTATTGTGAAATGTTACTTTGTTAAAAAGAGGAAATTGCTTTACAGAGGGTTGCTATTCAGAGGTCATGCTGTAGTTTATTTATCTCATGTTATTTGCATCTACCTCCACCCACCACTCTTTGTAGTGGAGATATAGTATAAAGGTATATTGCTTTACACAGTCATTTGGGTTGGACCATTAGTATCTATACCTTGTTTAGTCAGCAGTAAGTACAGAAAGGTTTGACCTAGATTTGCTGGATGGTTGATTATGGCCTGTAGGTGACCCTTGTTAATTTTAATAATAAAGGTTTTAAGGTCACAGAGAAGTACACTACAAAAGCTTGTCTACTGTCTTCACATTTGGTGGTACTGTTGGTCATGACCTGAAGGTGACAAAATTGAAAATCAAGACATACATGTATGAGTGCAGAATGTCAATGTCAGACATTAAACAAAATGAACATTTTAGTAGTCATTGTTACATTACTTATTGGTTGCCATTATATTTAATGAAGATCTTTTTGTTTGCTATATTTTTGAATAATTGATATAGAATTATGCATTTAATAAAAAAATGATAATACTTTTAAATGACATACTTTTAATATAACATTTTAATTCTGAATTCTTAGCTACCATCTGTACTATTATTATCATATTACAAGGAAATCTGCCTTGTTCATTTCTTTAAATATATAATACAGCAGTTTGGTGTAAATATATCAACAACAGTTCATGGTTTTAAATATTTTTGTTTTGCATTATGCTAAGTCAAAATATTTTATTTTTTTAGAATGGTTTGATGTCAAAGTTTGTGTATCAGACCTTCAGTGAGGTTTTGATTCTAGTGTTGGTGACAGCATTACGTGACATCATGGAGCAGGAAGCAGGTAATTTCATTAGTTCTACCCTTTAAAAGTATGCTATGTTAAAGCAAAATAGCTTTTTGCTGCTAGTTATAGCCCCACACAACAAATTTGTATGGGTTAAAAGTTGATCATATGACCATCTTCAGACACCATCTTTTTTTGCATTTTTTTCTCCAAAGACTGTTCTACCCATTTCAATAAAACTTGACGGGAGTATCTCTGCATGAGATCTTTTTTGTCATATTGTAAGGAATTTGACCTAGACCCATAAATGACCTTGACCGAAAGATTTTTTTTCTATATTTGGCAATAACTTTGTTGTTAATGGATGTATTGTATGCATACTTGGACATTTCGCTATAATTGCCCTAACTTTGTTATTATTGTCTTAACTGACTCAGACTTTGACAAAACATTATTTAGGACAAAATCATCAGGTTTACTGTAGTCTGTTTTTACTGTGTCCAGTAATTTAATTAGTTGAAGATGCTGTCACCACTGACAGCTCTTGTTGTTTGTCTTCACCAAATATTTAACCATGTGAATATTGTGTTGTATTTTAGAGATGCCAGATTCCTTTATGGATGAGGTAGAGGATTATGTGAAGCAGATGTGGGGAGGTATACAGCATGATCTAGAGAAGAGACCAGCACAAGGCAGTAAAGAAGCAAGAAGTCGTGTAGATGTCAGTCCATATGAGCTACTTGTATACAGCGGGGCAGCTTGTATAGATATCATGTTCTGGTCAGTTAGGCTAGAATCAGGTAATATCATAGTTCTGGTCAGTTAGGCTAGAATCAGGTAATATCATAGTTCTGGTCAGTTAGGCTAGAATCAGGTAATATCATAGTTCTGGTCAGTTAGGCTAGAATCAGGTAATATCATAGTTCTATATTAACTCTATATTTTAATAATTATGAATTTACAGCATTATAATTATTGGGTAACAGGTGGAGAATAATTAAGTTTGCTGACCTTAAATCATTTGCCCTTCAGTCTATCAATATAATCTTGAGAATATTTCTATATTATCTTTTGCATATTTAATCAGTTTGAGTGGTCCTGTTGTTCTATGTAAGAATTTCAAATCTTTTCAAGCTTTTCCATCTAAATGGAGATCTTTATATTAGTGAAAATTCATATATACTCAACATCACTAATTCCGCGTCATCACTTATCTCACGGTAATGGCATATTTTCATGTGACCATTGTTATAATTGGTCAGAATTGACATATTTTATTCAAACACCTTAACAACAAAGTTTTTGTGCAAAATAATTTAAATCTATAGATTTTTACGTAAAACAGAACAACATTTTACAAACTTCTGCAAAAAACAACAATAGTCCATTAAATTTGTGCATACGTCTGAAACAATCATCATTTTCTAAATGTTCTTGGTTGTTGAAAAAATAAATTTTGAGTTACAATGTAAAAATATTTTTAATATTTAAAATTATGCAACATAACTTAAAGAAATTTTAACTGAAACATGAATAACAGAAATAAAACACCATTATCGCGAGGTAAATGATGACATACTGTTTTCAAAATGGCCGACACACGGTTTACATCTGACAAATTAAAACTAATTTTGATTGAATATATTGTTGTTTCCTTGTGTCATATAGCAGAAAAATGACTAAATAATACAGTTTATGACAGTTTTTGTAGTGTAAGTTTATTGTTTGTGTTCTTTACTGTTTTAAAGTGTTAAGTACCGTGAACTAAGAGGGGCACAGTATAATATCAGATTTTGAACAGTAAAATGACCTAATGTTGAATATTTTCATTTAAAACTACTATGTACCATTTGGAACAGTATGTTATGTGTGATTTATTTTCTTTTTATAGATGCAGAAAATTTATGTTTACAACTGACAGAAAAGATCTCAACAAATACTGAAAAAAGACTTCTTCTGTCTCATGCTCCTATACTCTTGGTTGGATTAGAGGTACATATACTTAGGAAAAAGATATCAATTTTGAGTGCATTTTGTAGGATAATGCACGGCTCAAGTTCAAATACTCAGAAATATAATCACAAAGGCTGATAGGCCTGAGATATTAATTACAAAGCATTTTAACAATAAACCTTGCATTATTATACTATAATATAAGAAAAATTTATATCTATCTCCATTCTAACATGCTAATAAAAAAGAAAATTGATAAAAATATGTTGTAATACATTTAGTCTAGAAGTAATTTTTCTGACATCATTTGGTTTATTGATGTCATATGATGTGTAAACATTTGTTTTTTTTTGCTGTACATATATCATGTAATATTACACTTGATTGCCCTTTCTGTTTGATAGAGGAATAGTGTGAAGCATGTTAGAATGTCTGTTTAAGTAATCATGTTCTTATATAAGATGCTCTTATGTAAGATGCTCATTCATGTCACAGTATTATGATTTTATTGGAATAATGAAGAAGAAAACCATGCTATATTTAGCAGGAGAAAAATCATCAACATAATGCTGAGCTTTGATATCATTTTACGTTTTATTTTCAGTCTATAGGTAAACTAGCTGTGAAGTTTCCAAACCTAGCATCATCAATGGTTTCCTCTCTGAGAGATTTTCTTGTAACTCCTTCACCTATACTGAGCAAGCTGAACAAGTATGCAAATCCAAGTGCACGTGCAAACATCACAATCACTGTGACAGATGAGACACGCAGTAGTCAAAGGAAATCAGGACCAATAGATAAACTTACAAAAACATTACAAAATGTGTTGGATTGTGCAATAATGAATATTTGCAGGTAATACTAAGTTGCCATGAAACATGTGTGTTTTTGAGAGAAAAAATTATGTTAAAACCTTGAGGAAAAAATGCCACAGTTGTTTCCTTAGTAATTTCTCTCTTGTGTTGAAAGTGGTTTAGACTCGAGTGCAAATTATGTATGGTTTGTAGTGTACAAATAATAGAGAACTTGCAAGTCTGGAGAACATTCTAAAAAAATCTTCATTGTCAAAAGTAGCGGTGCATATTACATGTAGTAGCATGTTCAGATTCTGTGAATTTATAGGCCCCCAAAGGCATATAGTTTTTGTGCCATTTTTATGTGGTCCATAACTTTGTCATTAATGGATGGTGAACAGTCTTGTGTTGCCACTTGGTATTTGTGTACATATTGTGTATTTATTTTCAGGGCATTAAAAGCTGGTTTGAAGACAGATCCACAATGTGTGCAGGCATTCCTGGCATCAATATCTAATCGTCTTTATAGAGCAGAAATGAGTGATAGGTAACCATTATTATCATACACTTTGTTCCATATTTTATGTTCTTACATTCAAATTTGTTTTATTTCAATCTTCAATATTGTTTTCATGTTATTGCTAACTTTGGTTCAAACAGTCACTGACATTTTCACTGTTTTTATATGAATTATAATTGAAGTTACAAATTAGAATTGTTTATTGGTTTTCAATCACTGGTCTCTCACAGCTGGTGGTTCTAATTCAGCTAGTTACTTTACCTTCTTACATATGAGAAGCTAATCTTTGGAATTTTAGTGGTTCATACCTGAAATAATGCACACAGAGGCTTTGAGGATCTTCCTTCATTCGCTGGAGGTTCTTCCTCAACCATTCTAGTTGACATATGCTATGTACACTTTTATGTTACTTGAAACAACAAAAATAATGAAAAGATAACTGTATAGTAGGACTCATGCCTGTCATAGAACTCTGTTATAAGTTATGCAGATACTAAATGATAGTCGTTCTATCCATTGTCTGAACAAATACTTCCACAAGTATTAAGGTGTTAAATTAATCATGATTTAATGATGTAAAGATGAATGGTATAGTACTGATAGTATACTGCGAATTCACTTATTTTCGTGGGCATGAAATTTCGTGGTTTTATCAAAACGGGCATTTTCGTGGGTTCTTAAATTCATGGATTTTCGTTTTCTTGTTAAAAAAAAATTCAGTAACCTACTGCAATGTAATATTAAACTTAACCGCCGAACATCTTTACTTCCAACAAACATATCTTTACTTGTCACACAGCGCTTGTCAATAAATTTAATCCTTGCCTCTGGGCATACTTCTAATATAGCAAAGTTGCTGCCGATAATTGACTGCAATTAACACATTTATGTGACATGATATGCACCTCTTACGGACACACTGCCCCTGTAATTCGCCGATGTAAACATCGCTGAATTTATACGACACCTGACAGGTTTTAACCAGCGAGTTTAAAATTTACACTTAATATATTTGACAGTAGTTACACACAACGTGTAAATTTACATGCATATAAATTAATCTCGGTAAATAACACGAGTATATGTGGATCTTGTAAAAGTCTGTGGCGTCTTTGATGTTTATGGAATAGCATTCGCACAAATACAGATTAAAATTCATATAAACTGGATCATTTAAAAACGACAAAAAGAATTTACAATAAATCTGTTTTAGCGATCGTATTTTTATGCCCCCACAGAGTGGGAGCATATAGCGTTGCACTTGTCTGTCCGTACGTCTGTCTGTCCGTCCGTCTGTCCGTATGTCCCAAAATCTTGTGAACGCAACTCCTCTTAAACCGGATGGCAGATTTTGCTTTAACTTTCAGGGAGGAACAACCTTAATGTGTAGATGGTAGTAAAGGGAGGAATTTTTGCTGCGACCAAATTTAACAGAATTATGGCCCTTTGTTGATTTTTTCACTATATACTATGTAGAAATTTTGTGAACGCAACTCCTCTTAAACCGGATGGCAGATTTTGTTTAAACTTCCAGGGATGAACAACCTTAATGTGTAGATGGTAGTAAAGGAAGGAATTTTTGCTGCGACCAAATTTAACAGAATTATGGCCCTTTGTTGATTTTTAGTTTTCAACTTGTGGCACATGTAGTCCAAAAAATATTTGACCTAGAGTCATAAGATTGACAGAACAGTGGAGTGTGGGGGCATCCGTGTCCTATGGACACATTTCTAGTTTTTAGCTCACCTGTCACAAAGTGACAGGGTGAGCTTTTGTGATCGCTTTTCGTCCGGCGTCCGTCCGTCCGTCCGTCCGTCCGTCGTCCGTAAACTTTTGCTTTAAATGACATCTCCTCATAAACCACTGAGCCAATTTCATCCAAACTTCACAGGAATGTTCCTTTGGTGGTCACCTTTAAAAATTGTTCAAAGAATTTAATTCCATGCAGAACTCTGGTTGCCATGGCAACCGAAAGAAAAATCTTTAAATATCTTCTTTTAAACAACCCTAAGAGCTAGAGCTTAGATATTTGGCATGAAACATCTTCTAATGAGTGTCAACCAAGTTTTGTTCAAATAAAAGCCCTGGGGTCAAAATTGGCCCCGCCCCCGGGGGGTCATTGATTTTCCCTATATGCATATAGTAAAAACTTAAAAGATCTTCTTTTAAAGAACTGTAAGAGCTAGAGCTAAGATTTTTGGCATGGAACATCTTCTAGTGAGTGTCTACCAAGTTTGTTCAAATAAAAGCCCTGGGGTCAAAATTGGCCCCGCCCGGGGGGTCATTGATTTTCCCTATATGCATATAGTAAACACTTAAAAAATCTTCCTTTAAAGAACTGTAAGAGCTAGAGCTTAGATATTTGGCATGAAACATCTTCTAGTGAATGTCTACCAAGTTTGTTCAAATAAAAGCCCTGGGGTCAAAATTGGCCCCGCCCCAGGGGGTCATTGATTTTCCCTATATGCATAAAGTAAAAACTTAAAAAATCTTCTTTTAAAGAACCCAAAGAGCTAGAGCTTAGATATTTGGCATGAAACATCTTCTAGTGAATGTCTACCAAGTTTGTTCAAATAAAAGCCCTGGGGTCAAAATTGGCCCCGCCCTGGGGGGTAATTGATTTTCCCTATATGCATATAGTTTAAACTTAAAAAATCTTCTTTTAAAGAACCGTAAGAGCTAGAGCTTAGATATTTGGCATAAAACATCTTCTAGTAAATGTCTACCAAGTTTGTTTCAAATAAAAGCCCTGGGGTTAAAATTGGCCCCGCCCCAGGGGGTCATTGATTTTCCCTATATGCATATAGTAAAAACTTAAAAAATCTTCTTTTAAAGAACTGTAAGAGCTAAAGCTTATATATTTGGCATGAAACATCTTCTAGTGAATGTCTACCAAGTTTGTTCAAATAAAACCCCTGGGGTCCAAATTGGCCCTCCCCAGGGGTCATTGATTTTCCTTATATGCATATAGTAAAAACTTATAAAATCTTCTTTTAAAGAACCCAAAGAGCTAGAGCTAAGATATTTAGCATGAGACATGTTCTAATGGGTGTCTACCAAGTATGTTCAAATAAAAGCCCTGGGTCAAAACTGGCCCCGCCCCGGGGGTCATTGATTTTCCTTATATACATAGCAAAAACTTAAAAATCTTCTTTGAAAAAACCCAAATAACTAGAGTTTAGATATTAAGCATGAAACATCTTTAAGTAAATATCTACAAAGTTTGTTCAAATAAAAGCCCAGGGGTCAAAACTGGCCCTGCCCGAGGGGTGTCATTGTTTTTTACTCTATGTGTATAGTAAAAACTTAAAAAAGCTTCTTTTAAAAAACCCAATGAGCTAGAACTTAGATGTTTTGCATGAAACATCTTCTTATGGGTGTCTACCAAGTCTGTTCAAATAAACAAATAAAAGCCCTTGGGTAAAAATTGGGCCGGGGGGGGGGGGGGGGCTATATACAGGTGAGCGACCTCAGGGCCATCATGGCCCTCTTGTTATAGTTTTGTGTACTTACGACATTAATATCAAAGATTTTTTTTTAAATTAATAAGAGCAAACTGACAATTTTTATTAGCGATAATTATTGCACTGCCTGGGTTCCCATATTTACTCGATTATATCAAGTATTCTTGTTAACACAATCAAGTCCTAGTAGACTTCAACGATCAAGTAAGTATATAGGCCTATGCGACATTTGTGGACATATAATCGAGTTTTCTTTCAAGTTTCAATATTGCAAACGGATTTAATGTGTCACTAACCTGCTTATCTGTCTGTATTTACATCCATTTTAAGAAAAATCGGCCCGGAAAAGAGCCAACGCATGTTTGTAATATATAGAACAGACTGGGTAAGAAGTATTTGTTTGGATAAAAGTTCGTCGGATCTTAAATTCGTGGATTGACCTACCCACGAAAACCACGAAAATTCGTGTCCCACGAATATTAATGATTTTACAGTAGTTCAATTCAGTTGTTCGTAAAATGATGAAAAACAGAAAAGTTGATTATCCAGTCCTAGGTTTGTGTAGGTAGACTCACTTTGAGACTAGAGAAGTCTAGTTGTTGTCATATTCCTTTCCCATATTTTTTTTTGGCATATTGATTTAGTATCTTAAGTTAAGACCTGAAAGACCTAAAAATATTTTTTTCCTTAAAATTTTGTATGTTTTCCAATGCAGGTAATTTCAGTACTATTTACATAAATAAATATTGAAAAAAAAAACATGACGTAAGGTAAACAACAAAACTTAAAATAAAAAGCTTGCAGCATTTGTGGAATTGTCGACAAGAACAAAAACTATTGCTTAGTCTTATGCATCAACACAAATTTGGCAAGAATATCTATGCTTAAAACAATTCGGGCAAAATATCTATGCTTAAAACAAGTTTGACAAATATCTGTGCTTAAAATAAGTTGGACAAATATCTTTGATAAAAATCTTAAGCATGAACACAATTTGGGCGAGAAATTTATATATGTCTGCTAATTGGCTGAACGATCTATACATAAAATAAGAATTTGAGTAAAAAGAGTTTTTCATAGACACAGACTGATAGAAATATTTATGCTTCAAACAAGTTGGAACAAGAATCCATTATAGTCTTAACCACAATTTGGGTCAAAAACAATATAGGCATAAAAAATATTAGATATAGAGTCAATGTTGTTAGGGGTGGGAGATTTATGTATAACAACCTATTGAGCATGTTTTGATGAATATTTTATTGATATTTCTGAACTGCTTTTATTCGACAGTTTGGTTATGTTTGCATTGTTGGAGTGAAACTCAAGCACTGATATATTACGAAACGTACATATAAAATGGCAAATAATTATATCTGCATGTGTTAGTTATGACTGATCTCACAATTATATTTCTTTTCAGGTGTGGAATATATTCTTATTATAGCAAAATGTTTTGTTCTGTTTACAAAAAGTTCTGCATGTTGTTTGTTTAACATTATTTTCCTTTTATTATTCAAATGATTTTAATGCAATTTGAGCCCTTTGTTGTTTTTTTGTGCTCATCTGAGAAAAAGTGCTCAGAGGCTTTTTGCAGAAAAAGGTTGCTAATGGGATGAAAGTAAGTTACTTATGGGGTTTTAGAAATCAAAGAAGATCAAAGGAATAACCCCATAATGTTGCCTCCTGAAGAACATTTGCACTACTGAATAGGGATAGGGGGGCCATTCAACTGTAAACATTACAAAGGAGAACAATAGAGTTCATTCCGTAACAATAGAGTAAGGGGCCAATGGCCCTTTATCAAACAAAAGAAAATAACAACAAAAATGGTCGCTTGTCCCAATTTGGTCGCTTGTCCGTCCCTCCATCTGTTTTGACCGCAAAATGATTTTTGAAGGATTTCAATAATGGTGTTTATATTTTGCATGTCAGTATATTATATCAAAACACAGTTATGTTTGATTTTTGCTGCAAAAAACTTATTATTTATAGGAAACTTATTATTTATAGAGTAATGCCCTTTTTTAAAACAAATTTTCTGTGAAATTTTGGGTTTCCTCATGAAAACCTTTTTAAATATTTTAATGATTGTTTTTATATTTGGCATGCATGTTTGTTATGTTAAAACACAGCTCAAGCTTGATAATCTCTGCAGTCAGTATTTGTTATTGACATAGTAAGGCCCCTTTGTATGCAAACAAGTTCTTGAAAGTTCAGTTATCTGCTATTGCTTATATGCTATTACCTGACAGAAAATTAGACTTTATTTTTTTACGTACTGAAAACTTATGGTAAATGCTATTTACAACAATATATTTGCTATCTACTCAAGTATCTTGAAGACATATTTTGGTCTGTGATACCCCCTCTTCTTAAATTGCCATCAGAAGTATGTTGCCCTGTCTCAGCAGAGCTCTTGTTAGCTTTCCTGAACATATTTAGTACAAGTGTTACATGTTGTATTGAACTTGAACCTTTAATTTGACCGGAAAACTAACATCAGCAACCTTACCTGGCAAAAGTTCTCAGGTGAGCAATCTAGATCCATCATGCCCCTCTTGTTTTAATTAAAACATGCAGAACTGATGTAAACTTCAAATTGCTCTAAATGTAATGCTTTATTTTAGTTGAAGCTTTGTGCATGAGTAATATAAACATTTTCCTTCATTAGGCCGAACATGAGTGCAGAGGCACGTTGGAGTCAGCTTAAACTTGTAATGAAGTTTATTCGTCCAACTGTACACAAGATGAAACCTGAAGATTTAGAAAGGCAATTTCCATTGACTTTAACACAGAGTTTAACCCATTTTACATAGTCATAAGTCAGTTTATTTTATCTATCCAGTTTTTAATTGTCATCTTAAATAAAGAAAAAAAATCAAAGATGGTTACTCATTATGAAATTGACATCAAAATAGTATGATTTGAAATTGATACTGGTCTGCATTGTTGTTTTATTAGTTATCATATTCTATAGCTGTTACAACAAGGATTACCTTTCTCTTTGGTTTTAAGCTTACCGGAGCATGTTGAAAAAATTGCTGAACAAGAAGGCATCAAAGTTCCAAAGCCATGAAAGAAAATAAGTTTTTAACAACATCTTTGAAATTCTGTTTTATATAGATACTTTTATGTAATTTTAATAATAGTGTACAATAATGGATAGATAGAACAAATACTGACTTATGGCTATCATCACAGCTTAAGCCTTCTAGCAGCTTATTTAGTCCTTCACCTGAACTGTGTCACACTTGTACATGTATCTTATCAGTGTCATAATTGGACAAATATTCATGTGCAAAGATTTCACATTTGTGCCACAGCTTAAATTTGTTTTTGTTAAAGCACCATATCACATGTTTTACACTTGTATTGTCTAGACAGCATTACAGTTGTCACACCTGTACAATTGTTACACGGGGCGTCCGTGGCCTAGTGGTTAAGGTCATTATCAAACCACTGTCCATCACCGCTGTCGGTTCGAATCCCGACAGGGACTTTGGATTCTTTCATGTGAGGAAGCTATCCATCTAGCTTACAGATGTCGTTGGTTCATCTGAGTTCTTCCTCCACCAGTAAAGCTGGATCGTTGTCATATGACCTATACTGGGTTGGTGGGACGAAAAACCCAAACAATTGTGTATATACATGTATGCGTTCTTAGAAGTATCACAATGGTTGTGTCCTTTTACTAGTCATTGGCTGAAGTGAGTGCATTTGTCTTTGAAATGCCACACCTATCAGATACATGTACATGTGTCTCAGTTAAATCATTATTTGATATGATATTAGATTAATCACTCCTTTTGACTTATTTCCATTCTGCTACAATAAACAGAGCCAATATAAATGTTTCTTTATAGCTTAAACAGTATACCATTTTTATTTTTGCCAAGTTGGATATACAAGTATTTTAATGGCTCATCCTTACACAAAGTCAATGTTTTTAACAAGTTACATAACTTTAACCTCCATTTGCTCTCAATTAATTCCCTTTTAAGCACTTTGAAATTAGAACCTGGTATGGTTAACCTATTCTGGCAAATTGGAAGATAAGTATAAAATATCTTAAGATATATCAGTAAAATGGCTAGGAACTATAGGAACTTACTAACAAGTTCAATGGCCATAACCTTGGCAACTTACATACAAATGTATTCATTTTAAGCAAATGAAATCTCTTAGACTTTGAATATAGCTGTTGTTGAACTACTTTGGCAATTAAGATAGATATAGCTTTACACTTAATAACCACTTTAGAAGGCCATGAAAGTACTAAGTCACATAACTGCAGTGACCACTTTTACCAGTTATCTCCTTTTAAGATCATTTGAACACAAATCTCTGAAACCAATGGGTCAAAGATGAAACATGCCTTTGATGTTGTTAACATGAAGCAATAAATGATTCTAGTCTATTGAATATCTGGGTCAGACAGGCTAGGTATTTGTTGATATATATCTGATATTGGCCAAGTTGAATGGTTTTCAATTTCATCAAATATTATTAACATTTTACTTCTTTTTCCCCTGAAAATAACAAATTCTCAGTATTCTTAGTAAGGTTATATAACCATGTTAACAATGTGTCTTGAGCAGTCTGAGTGAATGATTAATTTTTTTGTCAAGAAAATGGCTACTAACAAGAATCAGGGCAGGGGGCTTGATGTGTTTACAGGCTCAGTTCATTATGCATGTTTAATCTAGTCTTGTTTTGGATGAAATATGAGGGGGTAGTGTTGATATATTTTAAATCCTTGAGTATCATCATTTATATATTTTGAAGCATTTAAGAGATGTTTAAATAGTTTTGGTCTGCTTTAACATTAACAAAATAGCCTAAATTGAGTAAGCATCAAGTTTTATTCTTCACATAACCATAATGTTTCATTGATATTTATCATTGACAAAATGCATCTTTTTCCATTTACAGAGGGCATCATGTTTTATTGATATTTATCATTGACAGAATGCATCTTTTTCCATTCACAGAGGGCATCATGTTTCATTGATGTTTATCATTGACAGTATGCATCTTTTTCCATTCACAGAGGGCATCATGTTTCATTGATATTTATCATTCACAGAATGCATCTTTTTCCATTCATAGAGGGCATCATGTTTCATTGATACTTATCATTGACAAAATGCATCTTTTTCCATTTACAGAGGGCATCATGTTTTATTGATATTTATCATTGACAGAATGCATCTTTTTCCATTTACAGAGGGCATCATGTTTTATTGATATTTATCATTGACAGAATGTATCTTTTTCCATTCACAGAGGGCATCATGTTTCATTGATATTTATCATTCACAGAATGCATCTTTTTCTATTCACAGAGGGCATCATGTTTCATTGATATTTATCCTTCACAGAGAACATCATGTTTCATAGATGTTTATCCTTCACAAAAAACATCATGTTTCATTGATGTTTATCATTCACAGAGGGCATCATGTTAATTGATGTTTATAATTCACAAAAACATCATTTTTCATTGATGTTTATCCTTCACAGAGGGCATCACGTTTCATGGATGTTTATAATTCATAGAATGCATCATGTTTCATTGATGTTTATCCTCCACTGAATGCATCATGTTTCATTGATGTTTATCCTTCACAAAATGCATCTTTTTCCATTCACAGAGGGCATCATGTTTCATTGATATTTATCCTTCACAGAGAACATCATGTTTCATAGATGTTTATCCTTCACAAAAAGCATCATGTTTCATTGATGTTTATCATTCACAGAGGGCATCATGTTAATTGATGTTTATAATTCACAAAAACATCATTTTTCATTGATGTTTATCCTTCACAGAGGGCATCATGTTTCATGGATGTTTATAATTCATAGAATGCATCATGTTTCATTGATGTTTATCCTCCACTGAATGCATCATGTTTCATTGATGTTTATCCTTCACAAAATGCATCTTTTTCCATTCACAGAGGGCATCATGTTTCATTGATATTTATCCTTCACAGAGAACATCATGTTTCATAGATGTTTATCCTTCACAAAAAACACCATGTTTCATTGATGTTTATCATTCACAGAGGGCATCATGTTAATTGATGTTTATAATTCACAAAAACATCATTTTTCATTGATGTTTATCCTTCACAGAGGGCATCATGTTTCATGGATGTTTATAATTCATAGAATGCATCATGTTTCATTGATGTTTATCCTTCACTGAATGCATCATGTTTCATTGATGTTTATTCATCACAGAATACATCATGATGTTTATCCTTCACTTAATGCATCATGTTTCATGTTTGTTCATTGTGATCTAAAATGACAGGAATGCATATTTTACTTTGCTGGCAGTGTTTGGCTTTTTGCACTGATTTCAATTCTTAATAGAATTCTGTACTGGATGATGTTAAGTTTTTAATTTATTTCATTTTACCTTGATTCTCCTTAACTACCTGTATTTTACTCCTGTTTGTCTGACAACAGATATGGTTAACCTATTAGTTAGCAAGGTGGTATATCTATAAAAATAGAAGCTGTTTATAGTGTAGTGGTCAGCAAAGGGACTCAGTTTAAATGGCTGTAATTGACAGATGACCACTATATCCAGGTTACCATAGATATCATATATGTGGATAAAATATGTCCAATAAATGTAAAAACAAAATTTTATAGCCAATTCAATTTAGGACCCTTTATATAGACATAACCTGAAGGTTATATTTACTGTTTATATATATCATGATCTATACAAGCATGGACATGGTTAAATTTTAAAAAAAAATACCCAACTCGAAGTAACCATTAAATTACCAGACAGTGCAAAAATGTCTGATTTATCTTACATTTTATTCAGACATTACATTACTTGTAATCTATATTTATTATGCCCCCATTTCGAAGAAAAGGGGGTATATTGCTTTGCACTTGTCGGTCCGTCGGTCCGTAGACCAAATGGTTTCCGAGTGATAACTAAAGAACCCTTAGGCCTAGGAACTTCAAACTTGGTATGGTGATTGGTCATGACCAGTAGATGACCCCTATTGATTTTGGGGTCAAGGGGTCAAAGGTCAAGGTCACATTGACCTTGAAAGCAAAAACGGTTTCCGATCAATAACTAAAGAACCTTAAGGCCTAGGAACTTCAAACTTAGTATGGTGATTGGTCATGACCAGTAGATGACCCCTATTGATTTTGGGGTCAAGGGGTCAAAGGTCAAGGTCACATTGACCTTGAAAGCAAAAACGGTTTCCGATCAATAACTAAAGAACCTTAAGGCCTAGGAACTTCAAACTTGGTATGGTGATTGGTCATGATCAGTAGATGACCCCTATTGATTTTGGGGTCAAGGGGTCAAAGGTCAAGGTCACATTGACCTTGTAAGCAAAAACGGTTTCCGATCAATAACTAAAGAACCTTAAGGCCTAGGAACTTCAAACTTGGTATGGTGATTGGTCATGATCAGTAGATGACCCCTATTGATTTTGGGTCAAGGGGTCAAAGGTCAAGGTCACATTGACCTTGAAAGCAAAAAACGGTTTCCGATCAATAACTAAAGAACCTTAAGGCCTAGGAACTTCAAACTTGGTATGGTGATTGGTCATGATCAGTAGATGACCCCTATTGATTTTGGGGTCAAGGGGTCAAAGGTCAAGGTCACATTGACCTTGTAGGTAAAAACGGTTTCCGATCAATAATGAAAGAACCCTTAGGCCTAGGGACTTCAAACTTGAGATGGTGATTGGTCATGATCAGTAGATGACCCCTATTGATTTTGGGGTCAAGGGTCAAAGGTCAAGGTCACATTGACCTCTTAGGTAAAAACGGTTTCCGATCAATAACTAAAGAACCCTTAGGCCTAGGGACTTCAAACTTGGTATGGTGATTGGTCATGACCAGCAGATGACCCCTATTGATTTTGGGGTTAAGGGGTTAAAGGGCAAGGTCACATTGACCTTGTAGGTAAAAATGCTTTCCGATCAATAACTTAAGAACCCTTATGCCTAGGAACTTCAAACTTGGTATGGTGATTGGTCATGACCAGCAGATGACCTATTGATTTTGGGGTCAAGGGGTCAAAGGTCAAGGTCACATTGACCTTGTAGGTAAAAACGGTTTCCGATCAATTAACTAAAAACGCTTAGGCCTAGGAACTTCAACCTTTGGGTGATGATTGGTCATGACCAGCAGATGACCCCTATTGAGTTTTAGGTGAAGGGGTCAAAGGTCAAGGTCACATTGACCTTTAAGTAAAAACGGTTTCTGATCAATAACTCAAGAACACTTAGGCCTAGGAACTTCAAACTTGGTATGGTGATTTGTCATGACCAGCAGATTACTCCTATTGATTTTGGATTAAGGGGTCAAAGGTCAAGGTCACAATGACCTTGTAAGTAAAAACGGTTTCTGATCAATAACTAAAGAACGCTTCGGCCTAGGAACTTCAAACTTGGCATGGTGATTGGTCATGACCAGCAGATGACCCCTATTGATTTTGGGATCAAAGGTCAAGGTCACATTGACCTTGTATGTTAAAACGGTTTCCGATCAATAATAAGAGAACCCTTAGGCCTAGGAACTTCAACCTAGGCATGGTGATTGGTCATGACCAGCAGATGACCCCTATTGATTTTGGGGTCAAGGGGTCAAAGGTCAAGGTCACATTGACCTTGTAGGTAAAAACGGTTTCTGATCAATTTACTAAAAACGCCTAGGCCTAGGAACTTCAAACTTTGTATGATGATTGGTCGTGACCAGCAGATGACCCCTATTGAGTTTTGGGTCAAGAGGTCAAAGGTCAAGGTCATGACCAGTAGATACTTTATAACCCTTATTAATTGTTTGATCACTGGGTCAGAAGTCATGCATAATAACCTTATCACATGACTAATTGGCTGCTGATTGGGGGCATACATGTTTTACAAACATATCTTGTTATTTAAGGATTTGTCCTTTATTTGCATAATTTAAAGAAACACATGTATGTGGTGTTTTTTGTTGTTTTTTTTTAAATCTCAGTTATTATTTTTATCTTCTACAAGAAGTACTGAGATTGTTATAGAAGGTAAAGACATCTAATTACCAATTAAAGATTATAACTTTAGCAATTACTAATGAAACAGTTGTTGGATGGCAATGATGTTATGTTCCATGCTTTTGGGGGTATGTGTGTTTATCAAACATATTCTTGTGTTTAACAATATATTAACATGTAGACTAGAGTAACATATTATACCATGTACTTAATATATAAACTTATATTAAGTTTGGCTTCTGTTTCTTAACATTTTATTTATTTATTTTGCATGACAGCTTTAATTAAAACAGCATTTTGTTCAGTTTTGTACTCATTTAGCTATTTGATTAAATTTTCTTTTGTTAACTTTATTTGTTAAATGGTAAAGGCAATCTATCAATGTAGTGAAAATGATTTTAAGATTTAATTAAGAATATAATTAGTTTGATATAAGTAAGAGTGTATGTATGTATTATAGGGAGTCAACATTGATATCTACCAACACTATTCTAACACTGGGACATGTAGCGGTTTCTCTAAGGGACACACCAAAGACAGTAGAATCTGTCCTGCAGATATTTCAACAACGTTTCTGTTCACCACCATCACCACTGGATGTCCTGATTGTTGACCAGCTTGGATCTATGATTATGGCAGGATGTGTATGTTATTTACATCTTCTCATGTTTATATCATGTCTTGTTTTAAAAGTTGGGAGATCAATCTTTCCCAGGAATGAGCTCGAAAGTCAAGAATAATTATAAATACAATAAATTTGTAATTTTATTTTTAGACAATGAAGTGAAAGGCTGCTGATATTTCACAGGCCTGTGGGGCTAGTGACTTGAATTTTTTTATGGATTTGACCTAAATCATATTGCTGTGAGCTAGCAGGCTAATGCTAAATGTACTGACTTCTTCCTTATTTTAGAAACACTCTAAGCCAATGACACAATTCTTCCTACACTCTTATGCTTCTCTAGAGAGGCACTTAATGTTTCTAACAATCTGATCAGTTTAATTTGTTACAATATTTTTAAGTGATAAGTAATAATTGAAGTTTGAATGAGATATAGCTGTAGAATTATAAGCCTGTTTTTGATGTACAGAATAAATCTACATCCTAATTCTAAGGCCTTATACTATAATGGTACACCTTGAAAATATTATAGTTATATATAAACATACTTGAACTAATAAAGTTTTATTATAATTACAGACCTGTATATACCAGGAAGTGATGGCCATGTTTACACAGATCAGTATTATAAGCAGTAGTCCATACACTAACTCAGAAAAAGATGAAAAGGTGAAAGGTTACAGGTATGAAAAGTCCTATATTTGTTTAGTTAAATGGGAAAAATTATATAGACACATGAAGGCCCTATTTTAAGTCCTGTTTTATAATGTTTAAACAAAAAAGACAGAAGTCCTGTTTTATAATAAAGGAAAAGTTACATAGATCTGTTTCATGAATATCAAATGAAAAGTTATAGATGTGATAAGTTCTGTTTTTAGCTTGACTATTCTTATTTAGTTTACATAGAATTTATTTTAGTTAGATTTTGTAGAAAGCTATCGGCATATTTATAACAATCGGGCTATATTCTCCAGTTTATCCTGTCTGCAACTTGTATAAGTTATTAACTAATAATTTAACTCGCATTATTTTTTCTATATTTACACAAATGGTGATAGATTAAAATAATTTGAACAAGAAACACTAATGTATATAAAAATAACATATTATGATAATACATTATGTATTGATGAATTTACAGACAAGTGTCATCAGCTGTAATCAATGCCTTCGCCAACATTGCTGCAAATATCACTGGGGATGATAACCAACAAGATTTTCTTATCCGGATACTTGAACTGTTTGTAAATCTTGGCCTAGAAGCTAAAAGAGTCAGTGAAAAACATTCAGGGCTCATTCAGGTACTGATTCTTTATAGCCCTTATATGAAACTACCTATTTGTCTCACTCTCTCAACAAAAAGTTGATAGTGTACTGAATATTAGTTTATGTCTTAATTGATAAACAGCTTCATTTGCAATATAAATATACTTGTTATGCTATGATTTATTCTCTGAAATTTTAGCAAAATGACATGTAAAGACATATTTGTGTTGAACTTCAGACTAACATATTAAATATTTTGATTTCAGGCATCAAGCAGTGCTGGTAACCTTGGAGTCTTAATCCCTGTCATAGCAATGGTGAGTTGAAGAATTTATTATCATTAAACTTTATTTCATTTGGAAATATATACATGATGAATTGAGTGACTATTTAATAAAGATAAATTTAAATACTTCAGTGGGATATATTTATGTTACTACATATATTTTCTATGTTACTTTTTATATATTTTCTATGTTACTATTTATATATTTTCTATGTTACTATTTATATAGTTAATGAGAAGGATGCCAACAATCATTGATGCGAAGCAGAGATTACAGAAGTTATTTCGGGACTTCTGGCAGTACTGTGTGGTGTTTAAGTTTGCGGAGGACACAGGTCTGTGGCCGCATGATTGGTATGAGGGTGTGTCTCAGATATCCATCTCGTCCCCTTTACTTATATCTGAAGGTCATCTAAGATCAGAGCTCTTGTTTAATGTAGCGTTGAGAAATGATACAGTGTCACTGGTATGTTTTCCTCCATTCTTTATCTAAACATCTTCTATTTTTAGCTCACCTGTCACAAAGTGACAGGGTGAGCTTTTGTGATCGCTTTTCGTCCGGCGTCCGTCCGTCCGGCGTCCATCCGTAAACTTTTACTTTAAATGACATCTCCTCATAAACCACTAAGCCAATTTCATCCAAACTTCACAGGAATGTTCCTTTGGTGGTCACCTTTAAAAATTGTTCAAAGAATTTAATTCCATGCAGAACTCTTGTTGCCATGGCAACCGAAAGAAAAAACTTTAAATATCTTTTTTTAAAAAACCATAAGAGCTAGAGCTTAGATATTTGGCATGAAACATCTTCTAGTGAGTGTCTACCAAGTTTGTTCAAATAAAAGCCCTGGGGTCAAAATTGGCCCCGCCCCGGGGGGTCATTGATTTTCCCTATATGCATATAGTAAAAACTTAAAAAATCTTCTTTTAAAGAACCAAAAGAGCTAGAGCTTAGATATTTAGCATGAAACATGTTCTAATGGGTGTCTACCAAGTTTGTTCAAATAAAAGCACTGGGGTCAAAATTGGCCCCACCCCGGGGGTCATTGATTTTCCCTATATGCACATAGTAAAAACTTAAAAAATCTTCTTTTAAAGAACTCAAAGAGCTATGGCTAAGATATTGAGCATCAAACATGTTCTAATAGGTGTCTACCAAGTTTGTTCAAATAAAAGCCCTGGGGTCAAAATTGGCCCCGCCCCAGGGGGTCATTGATTTTCCCTATATGCATATAGTAAAAACTTAAAAAATCTTCTTTTAAAGAACCAAAAGAGTTAGAGCTAAGATACTTAGCATGAAACATGTTCTAATAAGTGTCTACCAAGTTTGTTCAAATAAAAGCCCTGGGGTCAAAATTGGCCCCGCCCCGGGGGGTCATTGATTTTCCCTATATGCATATAGTAAAAACTTAAAAAAATCTTCTTTTAAAGAACTCAAAGAGCTATGGCTAAGATAGTTAGCATCAAACATGTTCTAATAGGTGTCTACCAAGTTTGTTCAAATAAAAGCCCTGGGGTCAAAATTGGCACCGCCCCGGGGGGTCATTGATTTTCCTTATATGTGTATAGCAAAAACTTAAAAAATCTTCTTTGAAAAAACCCAAATAGCTAGAGTTAAGATATTAAGCATGAAACATCTTTTAGTGAGTGTCTACAAAGTTTGTTCAAATAAAAGACCTGGGGTCAAAATTGGCCCCGCCCGGGGTCATTGATTTTCTTTATATGTGTATAGCAAAAATTTAAAATCTTCTTTGAAAAAACCCAAATAGCTAGAGTTTAGATATTAAGCATGAAACATCTTCTAGTAAGTGTCTACAAAGTTTGTTCAAATAAAAGCCCTGGGGTCAAAAACTGGCCCGGCCCCAGGGGTGTCATTGTTTTTAACTATATATGTGTGTATAGTAAAAACTTTAAAAAAATCTTCTTTTAAAAAGCCCAATGAGCTAGAGCTTAGATGTTTAGCATGAAACATCTTCTTATGGGTGTCTACCAAGTTTGTGCAAATAAAAGCCCTTGGGTTAAATTGGCCCTGCAACGTTGGGGGGGTGGGAGTTTGGGGGGCCTATATACAGGTGAGCGACCTCAGGGCCATCATGGCCCTCTTGGGCCATCATGGCCCTCTTGTTATAAAAGCCATCCTTTAGAGATTTCATTATTGAAATGTTTTGATGGTGCTAAGGTCTTTTGATAGACACCAGAAATTGAAAATCCATCTCCTCTTGATATGTTCATGGGTCAGTGACAATCATTTGCTTGTTTGTGACTGGCCTCTTAGCAAGATTTAAATCCTTGCTTTAACCATAAATTATCTAGATTAAGATATTAAATTTGTATATGTAGATATAGTGATAATATGTTTGTAATGTGTCAATTTGTATGTAGATATCATTTGTGGGTAAATTTCAATATTAAGAATTCTGTGTAAATGTCAATAGCTTGTGTGTAACTGTTGACAGTATATGTGTAAATGTCAAAGGTGGTGACATTTTGTGCGTAAATGTCAACAATTTGAGTGTAAATGTCAGCAACTTGTGTGTAGAATATGGCAATTTGTGTGACTGATATTTGATGTTAGAAATGTTCTGCACTTTTATTACAGAATTACACTGGTTTTAGTAGAAAGTTTGGTTCAGGAGTTAGTAAAAGGGTAAATTATCAGAATGTAGTGATTTTATACCAGAATTTTCGAGAAATTTATATATTTTTACTTTTCTGAATGCATATTTTGGTCACCTTTAACCAAGTTATGGATATTATTTTACTGTGTTTGATTTGCGATTCAATTCTTAAATTATTGGTGTTGATCAATATTAAGTATCAATTCCCTTTCCTCAGAACATGCTTGTATAAGAATAAAATCCAAACATTTCATACTTAGTTGACTTTGAAATAAGTTTTAAATGAACTGGCTACACATATTAAGAAATAAGCAAAGCATGCTAAGTTATAACCTCAAGAGAAACTAATTTTCACAGTTCATGTGTTACAAGTGCTTAATCAAATAAAAAATTACACAAGGAATGTGTCTGTTAATGAAAATATGAAATTTTGTTGATACATTTTGTACAGTCTGCTAAATTATACCCAAGACAAAGATTCCTACTCACCCTGGTGTCGGTATCATCATCAGAGACACACTTTTCATTAAGTTTTTTTAATTACCCACTTATTTATTGATATCCTTTAATGTACTATATACTACTGTTGAACAATAATTGATGTTTCGAGGTAGAAGGATATAAATCAGTCATGGATTTTGACTTAATGTATCATGTCGTGCTTAGATGACCTTTAAGGATCTTTGATTATCCATAATTCTTCATTTAAAAATGTTTTAAATGACATTTATTGGCAATATTTGAGGAAACTTTCCTGGGATTTTCCTTTCATGTAGTATTGTCAAAGTTGTTTAAATGGTTCTGGTCCTTCAAACAAACATGTAGAAAGTGGCTATGGGAACCGTAGCTTACAGTTAATATCATTTGAACATTTCTTATGTGGCTTCTTTTTCTCTCATTTTGCTAAAAGAACAATTGAGAGAACATAAATGTAGTCTTTCAAGTATCAAATTTTGATGATGTCTGTCCCATGTCTGTCACAATTTTATGGGAGCATGAAACTTATTTTTAGTTTGAAACCTAAAACTGGGTTACAACTCATTAAGAACAAGTGCAGTGCTTAATCTCACAGTAAGCTTTGCAAAAAAATATCAGAGTTGTATTGTAAATTATGTCAATTCCTGGTCTAATTGGATTTAATGAATTTGATAATTTAGGCTTTCAGTCCAAGCTTAAATGCTAGAATTGTAAAAAAGAATGACATTACATTCTGTCATATTATTATCATTATATCTCAGAAGGATGTCCCCTTGCTTGACATGGCTTAATTTTTCAGGCTAAATATTAAAATAATAGTTCAACAAATTTGCTTGTCAAGGATATGATTTTTTAGCTCGACTTTTCTATGAAAAGGGGAGCTATCCTACTCGCCCCGGCGTCGGCGTCGGCGTTGGCGTCACACCTTGGTTAAGTTTTTCGTACCACCCCACTTTATTTCAGAAGTATTACAAGTATGGCTTTGAAACTTACCATACTTGTTCACCATCATAACCTCCATCTACAGACAAGAGTACATAACTCTGTCAAGGTTTTTGACAGAATTATGGCCCTTTTTTTGACTTAGAAAGTGTATTGAGCTTGGTTAAGTTTTTTGTACCACCTCACTTTATTTCAAAACCATTGGAGGTATTGCTTTGAAACTGACCATACTTGTTTACCATCACGACCTTCATCAACAGACAAGAGGACATAACTCTGTCAAGGTTTTTGACAGAATTATGCCCCTTTTTGACTTAGAAAATACATTGAATATGGGTAAAATCCACTTATTGCCTTAACCCTTTGAGATATTGCTTTGAAACTTTTAATGCTATTTCACATCATTACCCCCATCTGTACGCAAGAGAAGGTAACTCTGTCAAGGATTTGTTTTAAAAATTAAGGCCTTTTTTCGACTTAGAATCTTGGTTAAGTTTTTAGTACCAGTCCACTTTTTGACTGAACTGTTTGAGATATTAATTTGAAAGTTGGAATACTTGTTTACAATCATGATTCCCAAACATGTCCAGGAGAAGGTAATTCTGTCAAAGATTTTATTTGAATTATGGCCCTTAACTGTCAATGTTTTGTATTATAGGCAAGCACTAAAAAACTTAAAAAATCTAAAAAAATTCATTCCTATCCACTTGTTCACTTTACCATAAATTATGTCATATAAACATTGCTGTAATATTCAAGGGTATCAAACAACTAGTTCACTTTAAAAATACAGAGATTCTTGTATTGCCTTTTACTGCAAAAACTTTTTTTATTGGCAAGCAATAAAAAAGTCGAGCGCGCTGTCTTACGGACAGCTCTTGTTTATAACACTTTCTAGATCTGAGAATAGTCTTTAGTAAAGCCCTTTTCATCAATGGATTTAACAAAAATTCAGTTTTATTATAAATCTTCTAATGTAAACAATTTGTAATGCAAGGTTTCCAGTATCCAGAATTTATTTAACCATTGCTTTACCCAGCTTATCAAATGCTGAATGTTTGCCTCCTGCTTAAAGGATGTTGCACCTCTTTCTTGAAGTTATTTGATATCCGGAAGAGCCAAGTATAATTTCTCTGTATATAAAATTAATTAATTGTCTCAGTGGTTATCTATGATTTATTATTTGCTTATCTTTTGCAGAATACCAAGTGTAAATTGTCTTTTTTGATTGTTTAAGGAAAGGATAAGAGCTTTTAATAGTATTGATTTTTTTTTCTGTGTGTCAGATCAATAAATCTGCACTTTGATGTGCTTTACCCACAAAACCCAATTAGAGGTCATAGGGTTAAAGGAAATGTGACTTTCATATGTGTAACATTAACCATGGTAATGAAATACAATGCCAGTCACCCAAAGTCTTCAAACTTCATAGATGTGTGCAGGTTGATGCATAATCTACGCTTGAGACTCACTTATATGCCATGGGGTCAAGGTCACTTGGACTTCAAGTAAAAAAATCAATTGTGGCTGTAAAACAGATATCATCCTCAAACTTCAATATTCACAAAAATTCATGTGAAAGGGCCTCAGAGTAAACAATCAAATAATGTTGAACTCCAAGGTCTAAGGGACCTACAATGGTATACAATGTATTTATACAAAAGATGGTTATTTTACATTTAAACAGCAATTATCAGTATTTTGAAAAATCAAATTTGAGCATAGTTTATCTTTAAACAATATATTTTGCACAGCTAGTGGCATGTTACATATGAAATATGCTTATACAAGTCCAGAAATGTGAAGGGTTGATCGGGGAAATTGTTTTATTTAATGTCTAAAATACAAGGATACATGAATATATATACATATGAAATAATCATAGAAATATGATCATATTATTTCAGGCGGAGTTGAATGAGCTGCGGATTAACATATGTTCATGGCTGGGCAATAAACCAGAGATTGACCAGTATGTGAAAAACCTGACCTTCTCACAGTGCACATACCTACTGTCAGTATATAGACTGGAAATGTTAAGGTAGAGTATCATCATTTAACAATAAGTAGAGAAATCTCATTGAGGTGAAGTGATTTGCCTCTTTAGCTTTTCATTTTGGATAAGTTAGAGTTATAAACATGCAATTTCATAGGAGAATAGATCTCATTGAGGAGAAATGCACTGCTTAAAAACTGTAACATTCTTTTGCATATTTTTGGAGTTATTGCCCTTTTTAATTTTTACCTGACACACAGAGCTCATGTTCTCTTAACTGGTTGATCATAAAACTTCATTGGTTGATGTATTCTCATTATTTTTTTTTTATTTTTTTTTAAAAAGGATGTAAATATTAGTACTTTAAAATGATATGAATGCTAAAGATGACATTTTTTTTCTCAAATAAAAGTCATTTATGGCTACATATTTGAATAAAGCTGTGTAATATTAAACTGATCTTTGGTTTATCTATATAGATATTATATGTATTAAACTGTGTTTACAGGGTGACAAATTCTGATGATCCGAAAGCATTTCATGGATTGTTTCGTTACTTAGAGGATAACGTTATACACAAAGATAAAGCTGGTTTGTACAAATTACTCTGTAATAAATCATGAAATATAGTTTAATATGATTATGTTGAAGTGTTTTAAGTTTGTAGCTTACATAGTTTGATTTAGACTTTTTAAAAGTTTTGTTTTGAAGCATATCTGTACAAAGGAGAAGCTGATCTTTACATATGATCTTTTAAAACTTTTTTCTGAAATATTGCACAAAAGAGGCAGCAGATGTCCATATTAACTCAAGCTATAGACTGATCTTAAAAGTCTAAATGAGACAATTCAAATGTATAATTGCTTTGAAGGTATCAGGCTTGTAAGAATTTATCTTTACACTACCAACTTGAGAGATACAAACCATCGTAATAGCACATTCATGTTATATATTTCCTGTATATCTTCAGGTATGTGGTTCTGTATACAAGCAGTGGCAGATAAAACATTTGACAAATTCCTTGATGTCACCTCAGAGAAGGTAAACTTTAAAGCTCAACTTTACAAAATTAAAGGCACAGTCAAAAGAATATAGAGTTCCGGGTTTTCTTTTTTATCTGAGGTGACAGATATGCCAACAAAAACAATTGATTTGGTTGAGGGGGGTATTTAAGTATACAGGCTGAAAAAAACTAATGATTTTAACAGCATTTTAACCGATGATATGGATCACCAATCTGTCAATAATGAAAATCGTGAGAGTTTATGATTTTCTTATTATGAAGTTATTATTCTGCATTATTCAACATCTTCCTTTGACTGTATGTTGGCGAGGTCAGAATAACAACAGACAATACAAGTTGATGTTCGACACCACACTATTTACAGCTGGATATAGTAAATATATCACACAACAAACTTGATTATTATCACATTTTAACTTTAAACACTTTCCTTTCTCTTTTATATTACATGCTTATACAATGTATTGATAATGTAGTGTTACAATTTGTCAGTTTTACAAAGAAAAATGTTCAATTATCATAAGTACAAAGCGTATATAGGATAGACATCTGTCATCAACACGTTATTTATTTACAGGAGCGTACTGACAGACGCGAACAGGAACTTGAGATGCATGCTCAGTTTTTACTGGTCAAGTTTAACCACGTACACAGTCGTATCAGGAGAGTCGGTGATAGATATTTTGCTGCACTTATAGACAAGTAAGATAATATGATTGAATGATTGACACAAGTTTGATTGTTCTATTTTCTATGTATTATAATTAATTAGGTTGGCATAAAACTGTTTTTTTCCCTACTGATTACTCGGCTGGATATTGTTGCATAGCCAACATGCCTGTGTACTATTCTGACCACCACCTGATCTCTGGTCACATGATAACCCGAGATATATATCTGTATTACTTGTGAATATATATCGTTACAGCCAACTTTTGCGCTCTTTTGTTTATCTGTCGTATAAAATATACCTTCATATATCAGTAGCAACAAATTATTGATATCAGCTAACTTTATTGTCAACAATTGAATTAAAGCTCTATTTGGTGTGACAATGTGCTTCGTGGTTGTGAACTTTGATTGCTTGATAAAAGTTGTACTTATTTTTCATTGTTTTGTCTTTTTTAACTGCATCACGCCAGGTATGCTGCCTCCTCATTGAGAACTTTTGTTACTTTACAATTTCAGAACTTTATGATTTTCATACAGATTCTTAATATTATTATTTCAGAAATATAGTTGTTTAACTAATTTATTTCAGATTTCCACATTTACTATGGAGTGGAAATGTGTTGAGGACAATTCTGGATTTATTACAGTTACTCTCAAAGTCTCTTGAAATGGTAAATTTGATGACATAAATTTTCTTATTTCCCCAAATGATAATTTTAGCAACTAACTAATTGGCACTACCACCGAGAGATGTTGTGCTAACATTATACAAGTATTACTAGAAAGCCATTGGTCAATATGATATTGATAATACATAATACTGTCTCAGATACTTATTGTTTTTATACAAGAAAAATTCAAATTGCTGTAATTGAACCTCTCCATACTTTAAAGTCAGATACATGTCAAATATTCAAATTTTTCTCAACAACTTAAAGAACATTAGAAATTCATAATAAACATTTCAATATTGGTAATGATGAACTTTTCAATGACAAATTAAATATTTCAGGATCCTCACCAACATGCCCCTGAATTCACAGTGCCAGGTACAGACTATATACTACAAGTGAAAGATAATATGATAGACAGAGAGGTAATATATACATTATATATATCAAACTATAATTATAGAAATGTTCTGTCATGAATTGTGCCACTATAGTAGAACTAGACTGGTCTACACTATCTGACAAAATGAGAAAACTTGTTTCTGCTGGCTGCACAGTTTAAGTATTTTAAATGTAGACATAATTATTTGAAAATTATGATTGACAGTTACAAATTCAACGAAGGAAAAGTGTAGTTTACAAATTCTGCAGTGAAGAGATTATTAGTTAATTTATTTAATAATTGTTTATGCATAAAATTGGCCTCTTTCCAAAATGTTGACAATCAGTTTTATGTTTTATAAAATAATGAAAGTTTTGCTAAAACAAAAAGAATAACAACAAGACAAATCATTTCATGAGTAAAACCCTTTAATGGTAAACATTATTTATACTTATTTGTACATCATATATTGCAGAGAATTGTGAAAGATTTTGCGTTACAAAGCTCCAGAATTCTTCAGGAGGCCATAAAGTGGGCACCTCAGATTACACGTTCACATCTTACAGAATATTTATTAGAAATGGAGAACACATCCCAGGGCCTCTTCCAGCACAGTGGTCTTGCCATGGCAACAGAAAGTGTTCTAAACTATGCTGGGTTCAACAGAAGTGCAGCTGCCCTTGGGGTGAGTGATCTCTCAAATACACTATACCTGATATTATATAATGTTTAAAGGTCATTTTCAATATACATATTTTTAAGAAAGAAACTTGACTATTGCATTACAATAAATAAAACAAAAACAAAAAGAAACACTAGAACATTGATGAAAGAAATACTGTAACAGAATTAGATATTTACTGGGCATTGATTTGATCATTTGAAGATTAAGTTTCTGTTTCAGTTTAAGATTACGGACAAATTATAATCATGTTAACTTTACTCTGATTTAATGTGAGTTGTCATCAATACAGTTTTTCTTTATAGCTTGATATTCAAACCACATTGGAGGTAATGGGATTTTTATACATTATAAATCTTTGAATGTTTCTAGCTGCTGTGGTCGTACAACTGTCAAATATTTGATTGTAACCAATAATTTCTTGCGTAAAAATTGAGAATATTTTCTATTAATATATACAAGGAGGATGATAAAAGTTGGAAGGTTTGAGTTTTTATCTTTTACCTGATGTATCTATTTTCCAAATATAAAATCCTGTGGATTATCAATACCAAAAACCAAAATGCTGACAGATTTTTACAGTTTTAATTCTATTGCCATATACTATCAGTATATTGACGTGTCAGTCAACGTGTTGGTTCAGTACGACTAGAGTCTATAGTGTCCACTGCCTAAAACATTCAGCAGGGTTATCAAAGTTTTATGAAATCACATGGGAATGTTTTGTTTTGATTTGAATGGCTACAGTAATGTATAATTTCTAAAATTAGAACCTGTTGTTCAGATTAGCAGGTTCAAAGTTGTGAGACTAAGATTAACAACTAGTCTAGAATTCATCTTCTGATTAATGGAATGTAAGCATAGAAACTCCAAAAAAAATGTTATACATATAGGGTGCATTATAGAAAGTCAGACTTTTGATCTTATTATACTGATAAAATTTCAAGTTCATTTGATAAACTATAGGCCTGAAATTGTCCATTAGAAGAGTTACATTTCTAAACTGTGAGTGGTCTAGCAAGTTCCTAACAGGCAATGCTTGAAAGGTCATTTTAACTTGATACTGTTGAAATTCTTTATACTCTGGACTTATTTGCAAATGGTAAAAAAGTATACATTCCAGTTTGGAAAATATTGATGGTTTTATTGACGTTTTTGATCATACTGTACCAAAAACAATAGTCCAGATAATCTCTAGCCCAACTCTGAATAAATACAGATTTGCTGTCTTTGGTTCAGATTACAGTATAAAATGCTTAGGTAACAAACTAGCTCATCCTGATTTTTATGACTGCTTACATGCTCAGTTGATGATGGGGATGAAGATTCTTCCAAGAAATGTAGACAAGGAATTTAGAGGGTTTTAAGGTTTTCATGGATTCCTGATAAATGTGATAAATACAGTTGACTCTCAATAAGTCAAAATTGCCTTACTCAAAATTCCGCTTAAGTCGAAAAATTTCTAAAGTCCTGCCAAATTTCCTTCTTTATCTTTGTACTTTAACTTCGCTTAGGTCAAATTTTGACTTACTGAGACTCCTGTTTAGTCGAAAGGAGGTTTTTGGTCCCATCAATTAAAGTCTTACATATTTTCATCTCAATTAGTCGAAGTGTGAAAACAGCCGACTGATCATTTCAGTGGTTAAATATTGCAGCATTGCCGTTATCAACAATAACAAATGTACTACTTTGGACCATACAATAATGTACATATAAGCAGCAGATCCACGTTACACGAATTCTGTTTCTCTCGAAGTAAAATGCCCAGTCCCCTGAAATTCAAGTTACCGGCAGTCAACTGTAATATGTATAGATATTTATTTTAAATAACATTATTCATGAAATAAATGAAATATTCTGTCTCCCTGCTTACAAACATACTATGCATATCCTATTATACATGCTTATTCTGTATGATCATATGGTTAAATAGATAAAATTATCATTACTTATACAAACCTGGGGCTTATGTCCAATATAAATTTGTTCTTGTTTTCATATATAGGAAAACACTATTTAAAACTAGAAACTTGGTATGAAAACTATTGTTTTTTGCCCCAGTTTTAATAAGTTTTCATGAAAGGCCAAATTACAATGTATTTCATTATGTAACACATTTTTTATATAGGACAGAAGCCCAGGGTATGATACTTTTATCTATGCTATTACACTTATGGCAAACTAAGCGCAAATATTCTATTTTTAGCTTGACTATACAAAGTATGATCTTAAAGCTATTCTGCAAGGGCATGAGAAAACTGTGAAATAACAAGATTATAAACAATGCAGTTGCATGCGAAATAATTCATAATTTTGTAAATTGAAATTCATAAAAAAAACATTTTATTTCTACATATATATTTAGTAACAATACTTATACAAACCTGGGGCTAATATATCAGTGATATATTACATACACATATATACAATACTGTTTCAATAAAACAACATTCTAAAAAATAATTGTTTTAACCGTAGATGAGCCATTGCTTTTAGATATGGCCAACTTAACCATGGTTCTGCATTGTATGATGATAAAACAAAAAATCATGAAACTACCATAACAAAAATGAAATGCCATGGTTCTATAACAATCTGCCCTTATAATAAACCAAGCTTACCATTCAAAAGAAAATTAACATATTTAAAATAAAATAAAACAAAAACTACAAAATGAAAATCTTTTTATAATGGACAAGATTCATCAATTTACTATATAGAAATGATGGGCAAACTTTGAAATGAGGCACTCTTATTTAGTTTTTAGTGATATTTTGAATCCGGCACCATATGTAAGAAAATGGTCAAACCTTTCTTTAAAATAAAAGATTCTTATAATCTCCCTCATAGTGAGGCATTGAGGTAAACTTACTTGTGAATATATAAAGAAATAATTGATTATACAGAAGGTTATTTTTGGATCACATGATACAGATTGCATTTCTATACTATAATATCTGCAACAGTATCATCATCAGAACCCACGGTACACATTCTGAATATACTACATTTAATACTGGTATACGGTAAATAGCCTGGGTTACCGAGGATGCAACAGTATAAAAAGACACAACTTTATGTATTGGACTGTACAATTTCAGAGTTCTACCTTAGAGAGACGTCCAAAATGTGTAACAACTGACAGTTCTAGTTTTATGGCAAGTCTCAGTTTACGTAGCAGGTTTATGGGAGAGGTAAGTCTTACGAACCTTCTATCAAGTTTTTCTGTAAAATCTATTTCATCTTTAGGTTACTATCAGTATAACGTAGAGTTTAAAATTGCTCTAGAGACTTAGCATATTTAGATTATACATACTTGTAATGTATTTTAGTTTGATTGTGTTGAAAGCTTTAAGCTTATAGATACACTCTTGACTTTGTCCATGGAACCAACCATAATACTATGGAATGAGTGTCATGGAAGCAATGGTTTGCTTCTAACGGATTTGAACCCATGTGACTAGCAATCTTAATACCAACTAACATCTGACTACACAGTCACTCCTTATTCTAAAATGAACAACTTTTATGAATATATGAATAAAAAAGAGAGAAATATGTAAAATTCCTTCCAGAAGTGATTCTTACTGGCTAAGGTAAAAAAAGCATAGTGTTGATTTTAATCAGTTCCTCCTAATTGCAAATGTAGAAAATTTGATTGATTCATGTTTTGTTATCAAGCTTTATTGATAGTTGCAGGTACTGATCTTGTTGTTTATTTTTGTGACAGATATCTGGTATGAGAAGTATAAGTAATGATGAAGACCTGGTCAAGTTATTGTGTGACAGACTAGATAAAGCATGTTTAGATACTGGTATGTAACTTGTGTACATTACTATGTGTGATTTGATTCAATTAGCCTATGTGTAAACAGTGGTTCATACTATAATATGTGTGAAATATCATTATACAAACATAATACATCTTTGATGACTTAAGTCCAAAATATTAAACATGATTTGCTTCTTGGGCAAGCATGACATCTAAACAATATTGCTCATAAATGCTAACTTAGCAAAATACAAATTACAAAAAATATCTTCATATAAGCTTACATGATAGTTCATCATATATTTGTTTTATTTCATGTTCATACATCTCACAGATAGTCTAGAACATTATATTAATTTATTTAAAAAAAGAATATAAACACAATTTAATAACATGTATGTGATGGAAAATACAATTTTGATCATTTAGGAATGTTTTTAAAAATATTACATACATGTATTATATATGATATAAATATTACATGCATTGCATGTTGTTATTATTTTTCTATATAGAGAGAATATATTATCACATTGTAATAGAAAAGTAAACTATGTATATTGTATAATGTATAAATAAGGTATTCAAATCCTTGCATGTTGATCATATTTTTAATGTTTTATTTTAACAAATCTTCTTCATTATAATGTTTATAAGTTATTTACCTGAAATAAGAAAAACAAACACATGGTTTTCTGCAGACAGTGTGTCAAATGACCTACTATACATAATTTTCATGCTTTTAGTTTGATCAAAATTTACATAACACTTGAATTTTGTATATAAAACAAATTATTGTAAATGTATGAGGGATTAAGTATATAAAACAAGGATTAAGATATGAATTTATGAGAAATTTAGATTTAAAACAGAGATAAAGCTATAAATGTAATATAGTTTTAAGATGTAAAACAAGGATAAAGTTATGAGTGTATGAGATATGTAAAACAAGGATAAAGTTATGAATTTAAGATAGATTTGGGATAAAAACAAGGGCAAAGCTATGAATGTATGAAATATGTAAAACAAGGATAAAGTTATAAATGTATGAGAGATTTAGGATGTAAAACAAGGATAAAGTTATAAATGTATGAAAGATTTGGGATGTAAAAACAAGGAGAAAGTTATGAATGTATGAGATATGTAAAACAAGGATAAAGTTATAAATTTATGATAGATTTGGGATAAAAACAAGGGCAAAGCTATGAATGTATGAAAGATGTAAAACAAGGATAAAGTAATGAATGTACATGTATGTGAGATTTAGGATGTAAAACAAGAATAAAGTTATGAATTTATGAAGGATGTAAAACAGAGATAAAGTTGTACATGTATGAGAGATTTGGGATGTAAAACAAGGATAAAGTTATAAATGTATGAAAGATTTGGGATGTAAAAACAAGGAGAAAGTTATGAATGTATGAGATATGTAAAACAAGGATAAAGTTATGAATTTATGATAGATTTGGGATAAAAACAAGGGCAAAGCTATGAATGTATGAAAGATGTAAAACAAGGATAAAGTTATAAATGTATGAGAGATTTAGGATGTAAAACAAGGATAAAGTTATGAATGTATGAGAGATTTAGGATGTAAAATGAGGATAAAGTTATGAATGTATGAGAGATTTAGGATGTAAAACAAGGATAGAGTTATAAATGTATGAGAGATCTGGGATATAAAACAAGGATGAAGTTATGAATGTATGAGAGATTTGGGATTTTAAACAAGGATAAAGTTATGAATGTAAGAAAGATTTGGGATTTTAAACAAGGATAAAGTTATGAATGTGTGAGAGATCTGGGATATAAAACAAGGATAAAGTTATGAATATATGAAAGATTTGGGATTTTAAACAAGGATAAAGTTATGAATGTATGAAAGATGTAAAACATGGATAAAGTTATGAATGTTTGAGAGATGTAAAACAAGGATAAAGTTATGAATGTTTGAGAGATGTAAAACAAGGATAAAGTTATGAATGTTTGAGAGAGGTAAAACAAGGATAAAGTTATGAATGTTTGAGAGAGGTAAAACAAGGATAAAGTTATGAATGTTTGAGAGATGTAAAACAAGGATAAAGTTATGAATGTTTGAGAGAGGTAAAACAAGGATAAAGTTATGAATGTTTGAGAGATGTAAAACAAGGATAAAGTTATGAATGTTTGAGAGATGTAAAACAAGGATAAAGTTATGAATGTTTGAGAGAGGTAAACAAGGATAAAGTTATGAATGTTTGAGAGAGGTAAACAAGGATAAAGTTACGAATGTTTGAGAGAGGTAAACAAGGATAAAGTTATGAATGTTTGAGAGATTTAGGATAAGCATGTAACAATCAAACCTGTGCTGAACACTTGTATAATTGACAGGTTATTCTGTATTTGTCTAGTCTTTAGACATTTGTTCCCTCCAAAAATGTATAATATGTTTTTTTAACTTCCTCACAAAAAATGACTTAATCATTATATGTTTTTTAAGATCAATGTTTTGCAAATGTTGAGACACAATTTTTGTAAGACCCATATCATGCACTTTGTTGTTATCATGAACAGTTAAAAAAGAGAGATTTCTGATGATTCACGGTGGTAAGTTTTATATAATATGCACACACCAGCAGAAAATGATTGTTTCACCCTTTGTTACAGTACAAATATTATGTTTAGAATGGTTGCATGAGTATTACATAATTATATATGGTATAATCTTACTAACATGTATGCCAGTCAACATATTTAATATAAAAAAAATTACAGTTAGTAAGTGATCAACACATAAAACTTGGTATAACATGTTTCAAATATAAAAAAAGTCCAAATGTTGTGTCCACTTTGGCACAAATGGCTTACTGCAACAATTAGGTTGCTATCCCCAAGTTCAAAGTCACATTTAAAGGTCACATTAAGCCCACATTTTGTATCCACATCATTACTTAAAAATTGCTGAAAGTATATGAAATAATTAGGCACAAATGATCACCATTATGACCGATGCTCAGAGCTCAAAATTCAGGTTGCTTCTTCCAAGGTCAAGGTCATACGCAAGGTCAGTTATATGGTGGCAGGTGTCCTTCAAACTGCCTTGTTGATATCACATTTGAATGCTATGAAATAAGCTAGATATTTACATGTATTTACATGTATGCATCTATTACAGTGAAATGTAATGTACATGTCCTATGATCACATTTCTAGCTAATGGTAAGCTTTTGTGATCATCATTCATCATCAACAAATTCTTCTACACTGACACCAATGACCAGATATTAACTAAATTACACAGGAATGATCCTTGGGTAGTCAGTCCCCTTTCAAACTAATTCAAATGGTTCTGGTCTGTTGCATAAGTAGGTCACAGGACCAAATAATGAGTTTAAAAAGTGCAATTTTCAAAAATTGTCTTGTCTAAAAGTAAAAGTCCCAGAGCTTTGGAATGTGATATATAACATAATGTAGTCATGGGTTTTCCTTATATTTATAAAAAAAAACTTAAAATATCTTCTTCTCCGAAAAGAAACCCCAATGGTAAGAGCTTCGATATTTGGCATGAAACATTAATTTTAATTTACCTGCACCAAGATTGGACAAGTATTGGCTTTTTTTCAGGGATCATTGGTTTTACATACATGTAGATTGTAAAAACATAAAAAAGATTCCGAGGGCTAGAGCATAGATATTTGGCATAAAATCTTCTGTGAAAGCCTAAAGCTTAGATATTTGATTATTAGGCATGAAACACTGTCTTGTTGACATCTAACAGGTCTATTCAAAGTATTGTTCTGGTGTCAAAATTGGCTCCTCTGTTCGGGGGTTGGGGGTCCCTTTATTTGCAAAATAAACAATTAATTCTCTTAAACTCCATGTGTCTTCAGTCATTATATTTGTAGTGGAGGGTTTTCATGGCTTGTAGATGTTTATAAAATTTGGTATGAAGGTTATTCATGACTAGTAGATGACCCACAATTGATTTTGAGTAAAGACAGTGAAAGGGCAATGTTAAAGTGGCCTTGACCACTAAAGCATTGTCCAGTTCATAACTATAGAAAACTGCCCTCAGATGAGCATTTTGGGATCAATGGCCCCCTTGTCTAAGATGGTATGTGCTAGAGATAATAAAAAAAGAAATTGAAAAAGGTTTTCACATGAGTTTGAATGAAATATCCAATTGAATATGTGAATAAACTAACAAAAATTTTAATCAAATTATTTTTCTGCTAGATTTATTTATCTAACATCTTTTAGTTATTTATTTATTGGCTCTACTTTGAAAGAAACAAAGAGGAGCAATTTTTGTGGCCTTCTCATTGAGATCTGTGATGGTTAATCTTTTTGTTAAGTTTCATTTTCTGCAAAACTATTAAAGCTTTCCACTTGAAACTTAGTATACATGTTCACTATCTAAATCGAGTGAGACTATAAAAAGGATTGGAGCACCACACTAAATAACATATTCCGGTATATACCGGACAAGGCGCTTCAATCATAAAATGATAAAATCTTGCCTTTTTACCCAACGGAATGAACTTTAAAAGGTCTAATTCATCTTGCCACACCGATTTTTGTTTGTAAATGCATGAAAAATGTAATATTCGTCGAAAAAAACGACATTTGTCTATTTTGTGATCATGAATTTTGCAAGCGTCTAGAGGTACTGCTCCAATCCTGTAATGAGTTAAATCCATCAAAATCTGACACCATTTTTAAATGGCAGATAAGCCCAAAATTAATTTTGGCAAAGTTATTCCCCTTTTCAACTTTTTTTTGCTATGGTTCATTTCTCATTAGCTACTAAAGGTTTTTACTTAATTATGAAAATACTAGGCCACTATCAAAACACATATGATTTTCAAAATTGAAAGTTAGATTTATTATACCCCCAAAAACGAAGTTTGGGGGGGGTATATAGGAGTCACCCGGTGGTCGGTCGGTCGGTCGGTCGGTTGGTTGGTCGGTCGGTCCAGACGTCCGTTGCATTTTCCTTGTCCGGAGCATAACTTGAAGACTAATGATTGGAATTCAATATAACTATACACAATGGTCAAGCACATTGAGAGGAAGTGCAGTGCACAAGAACCATAACTATATCTTGACTAATTACAGAGTTATTGCCCTTTGTTACTTTTCCTTGTCCGGGGCATAACTTGAAAACTACTGGTTGGAATTCAAAACAACTTCATACAATTGTCAAACACAATAACGGGAAGTGCAGTGCACAAGAACCATAACTCTATCTAAAGTAATTACAGAGTTATTGCCCTTTGTTACTTTTCCATTGCTTTCTTTTGTCCGGACCATAACTTGAAGACTAATGGTTGGAATTCAATATAACTACACACAATGGTCAAGCACATTGAGAGGAAGTGCAGTGCAAAAGAACCATAACTCCATCTTGACTAATTACAGAGTTATTGCCCTTTGTTTCTTTTCCTTGCCCGGGGCATAACTTGAAAACTACTAGATGGAATTCAAAACAACTTCATACAATTGTCAAACACAATAAGGGGAAGTGCAGTGCACAAGAACAATAACTCTATCTAAAGTAATTACAGAGTTATTGCCCTTTGTTACTTTTCCATTGCTTTCTTTTGTCCGGACCATAACTTGAAGACTAATTGTTGGAATTCATTATAACTTAATACAATGGTCAAGCACATTGAGAGGAAGTGCAGTGCACAAGAACCATAACTCCATCTTGACTTATTACAGAGTTACTGCCCTTTGTTACTTTTCCTTGTCCAGAGCATGACTTGAAAACTACTGGTTGGAATTCAAAACAACTTCATACAATGGTCAAGCACAATAAGGGGAAGTGCAGTGCACAAGAACTATAACTCCATCTTGACTAATTACAGAGTTATTGCCCTTTGTTACTTTTCCATTGCTTTTTTTGTCCGGAGCATAACTTGAAGACTAATAGTTGGAATTCAATATAACTTCATACAATGGTCAAGCACATTGAGAGGAAGTGCAGTGCACAAGAACCATAACTCCATCTTGACTAATTACAGAGTTATTGCCCTTTGTTACTTTTCCTTGTCCAGAGCATAATTTGAAAACTACTGTTTGAAATTCAATACAACTTCATACAGTTGTCAAGGACATTAAAAGGAAGTGCAGTGCACAAGAGCCATAACTCCATTTTGACAAAATACAGAGTTACTGCCCTTTGATACTTTTCCTTGTCCGGAGCATAACTTAAAAAGTACTGGTTGGAATTCAAAACAACTTCATACAATGGTCAAGCACAATAACAGGAAGTGCAGTGCACAAGAACTATAACTCCATCTTCAGTATTTATAGAGTTATTGCCCTTTGTTCCTATTCCTTGTCTTTCTGGACTTACTACAGAGTAATCCAATAAAACTTCATCAATGGCCAACCACATTGAAAGGAAATGCAACATACAAGAACCACAGCTATCTTTAATTGCCCACAACCATAACTCTATATTTCAATTCTTTTACAAGGTATTCTGTTACTAGTAACATCCTCATTTCTGAAGCAGTCTTGTGGGGGTATTAATCAAATTTAGTGATAGTTCTAGTTTAATTTTGCCCTTTTTTCCTTGAAATATTTTGGCTTACTTTTTTGTAAAGATACATTTCTCAAAGAATATCAAATACATTCTCTTCAGTTTTTGATTATTTGTTCACTGCTAAAATTGGAAAGTTTATTTTAAAGGCTAAATAATATTTTTGCCTAATTATTACCCTTTTTTGGTCAAAGAATATCTTCATAATTGTCTCAAAAACCCATCACAGATATTCACTTCAAACTAAGAATACTGGTTCATTTTCAAAGTCAGATAAATCTGCTAAGCATTTTTTGCAGCCTTTTCCTTCTTTGTTTTTTTATCCAGCTCAGAGAAAAATGGAACATGCTGTCTTTAGACAGGTCTTGTGTTTGTCAACTAATTAAAATAGTTGCTTTAAATAATAACATGAAAGTAGACAAAATAGTTTCAAGTTACTAACATGTTCATTAATTATAGATGAAAATATTTTAATGACATTTTCACATTTTATATGGACTGTGTGTAAGATATCTGTATGTTCTTTCATGTAATATCTGTTGTAATTATTAGCTTATCTATTATGAAGAAAAGTCAAGCTATTATGATGGCTGCAGCATCATCGTGTGCGCCGTTGTTGGTGTCATGCAAAAACTTTAATGTAGTCCATAATTCAAACATTTTAAAAGTTATCAACTTGAAACATGGAATTCTTGCTTATCATAATGCGGTGCATTTGTAAGACAAGGGGCATAATTCTGCCCCTTTTAACATGGAATTTTTAACAGCAGAGCATTTACACCACCTGCTGTGCTCTACTTACTTAGGTTTGATAAAATGCTTTGATTTTGTACACATAAGACACTTGCCTTGTATAACAAAAATAGGCATGACCTATTATTATGTCTATCACAATGTATATATATTTATAAATGTTGTCAAAGCAATCCCCAGATACATGATGCATGATATTTATGGTGATAACAACAATATTTTACAATTGTTCATATTATCATTTTAGATGTAGAGCAGTGTAAACAAGCCATGTTCAGAGTGAGCTCTCTACTTATCTGTATGGAAGGTATGTAGTTTCTCTATATTTTACAACATTAGTAATAATCTTATTTGTTTTTACTGAGAAAAAGTTTAAATTGGTTGAAGGGTCATTTTGGCCCAGTGTCTGTTTGCTGTAGTTTATCTGAGCACAAAGAGAGGAAGATTTGATGTTTTATGATGGTATGTTGTCCATTGTTATTCACAATGTTGGTAAGATAAAATGATTTGGTTTGCTCTGGTTGTGAACTAGAGACCGGAAGTACTGATTGATCTTTTATACTTTACTTAGCTCAAGCTTTCAAATTCAAAGTATTTGTACACTTAAGTGTGTGAAATCAAAATTTGACAGTGAATAGATCTAGAATGTAATCCAATGAAGTACTTCTGTGATTAAGAAATTATTACATTTCCTTGCAATGGTTCTCATGTGCGCAATTTACATCTATATCTACATTTGCAGATAAGATCAGATGGGGTTAAGTATTTACTAGTTTATAAAAGTAATAATAATATTTTTTTCAGATATAAACAAAGTGTTATTACATGCCCTATGCTGGACACCAGTAAAACATTTTACCAAGATGACAATGAAAGCAGCAGTGTCATGCTGGGAGTGGATCCTGGCTGCCAAGCCACAGTGGAGTATTGAGGTAATTACAGAACATAGTGAAAAATGAATGACAAAAACGGGCAATTGTGACTGAGGAGTTAAGGTTGTTGACTTTAAATGACTTGTTTATAACTGCTGTGGGTCAAATCCTAGATACTTTCATGTAAGGAAGCTATCTAATTAGTGTGTGGAAGGTCAATGGTTCTATGCAAATGTCCACTTGTGCCTGAAGTAATGCACAGAAGAGCACATGAGGAGCACCATTAAAGCTGTAAAAGGCCATAATGACCATTACAGTATGGGTATGCCATATAACCCAACAACAAAATCAATTAAATATGTATTTCAGTTAACATTCTAAGCTACATTTAGGAGACATAACCTACTTACAGACACAGCTCTTGTATCTACAATCATAAAAATTTATTTTTTGCTTGCAACCTTAATAAGTCTTGTTTACAGATTTTACTCACTTTATTCTCATTTAAATCTGAATATTCAATTTGAATCACAGTATTTTCGTAAAAGTGAAGTTTTGTATGCCTTTAAAATGCCATAATTTTCATCCCACCATTTTAGTTGATAATAAATGTAGTTATGTTACCCTGGTAATGGTAGCATTATCCATCCTGTCTAGTAATAGTATAAACAGATTAGATCATGATATTCATATAAAACATTATTATAGAATATTTTACCATAATGTTTTATTATGTAGAGTATTACAGTTATAATATCAGTGTTATAAATTTTGATTGATATTGACAGTTTGTATGTGAGATGGCTGCAGCTTGGCAACTAACTATAGACATGAAGTTAGGAATATTTCGAGATGATAAACCTAGATCTGATCCCCTTGCTAAAACAGAGGGTCAGGTATTACATCCTGATGCACCATATGTTGAACCTCACAATATCTGGGTCAAGGTTAGATTTTCTTAAGACATTTTATTTATGAAATGCACTGACACTGTATGACAATTTATTTGTAATATATGGTTTTATACTATAAATTGTAATTATAAATTTGTATAGATTATGTAAATTTGTTTCCCCTTGTGGCTGAGGAATTGTCTTTAAAAGGGTTTAGGCATCAGAATCGCACCCACCGTTTATCCCTGCATGATCGTTAGATGCGAATAAATGGTTAAGTTACTGGAGTCTATGCAGACATACTCTTTAGGCCATGTTTGACAACTCTTCATTGCATTTTTACAAAGGTTTGCCCATGTTATTACTAAGAAAATGATTTGAAATTAACATGTACTTTTGTGCATAAATATCTAAGTCAGCCAGCTTCACACAATATGGAGAGCATCAGATTTGTAATCCAAGCATTGCTGGTTCAAACTTAGGATAAGGGAAAAACAACAACTTGTAATAATTCAGCCTGAAAAATCAAAACACAAACTTAAAAATCACAAGGGCACTTGGCCATTATTGGTTCATTATTATCTATCAAAGCTCAGTTATAGAACAAATCACATTCAGCGATAGTTATAGTTTGAAATGATTATATATTTGAAAGAATAATTTTGACTATTTCAGTTTTTGCAAGAACGTCTTGAAATAGTACGATACAGCAGTCTGTGTGAAGTGAGTATTTTTGTAACACTGATCAATAAATCCTTGTTACTTGGAGTTGGCAGAAATCCTTCACTGATATCAAGGCATCCAGCTGCAATGGGAGCAAGATTGGGGTATGTTTTGTATTAATTCTATTGGTTTTAAAGTCATTTAAGTACTTTTAAAGGTCATATAATGATTTTTCAGCTTTTCTAGTGAGGATTGGCCTCAGGTGTTCCTCCTTGCATTATTTCAACAACCTTAGTAGAACCACTGACCTTCTGTAAGCACCTAGCTTGAAAGCTTCCTCAAATAAACAAATCAAGTCCTTAGCGGGGTTTGAACCCACAGTTATACTACTGTAATGTTGTTATATCATGATTATATTCATGTGACATTATATGTTTACTTTGTCATGATTATATTACTGTGACACTGTTATATGCTCACTTTATCATGATTATATTACTGTGACATTATATGTTCACTTTGTCATGATTATATTACTGTGACACTGTTATATGCTCACTTTATCATGCTGATATCACTGTGACATTATATGTTCACTTTATCATGATTATATTACTGTGACATTGTTATATGTTCACTTTATCATGATTATATTACTGTGACATTGTTATATGTTCACTTTATCATGATTATATTACTGTGACATTGTTACATGTTCACTTTATCATGATTATATTACTGTGACATTGTTATATGTTCACTTTATCATGATTATATTACTGTGACATTGTTATATGTTCACTTTATCATGCTGATATCACTGTGACATTATATGTTCACTTTGTCATGATTATATTACTGTGACACTGTTATATGCTCACTTTATCATGCTGATATCACTGTGACATTATATGTTCACTTTGTCATGATTATTGTCATGATTATATTAATGTGACACTGTTATATGCTCACTTTATCATGCTGATATCACTGTGACATTATATGTTCACTTTGTCATGATTATATTACTGTGACATTGTTATATGCTCACTTTATCATGCTGATATCACTGTGACATTATATGTTCACTTTGTCATGATTATATTACTGTGACACTGTTATATGCTCACTTTATCATGCTGATATCACTGTGACATTATATGTTCACTTTGTCATTATTATATTACTGTGACACTGTTATATGTTCACTTTATCATGCTGATATCACTGTGACATTATATGTTCACTTTGTCATGATTATATTACTGTGACACTGTTATATGCTCACTTTATCATGCTAATATCACTGTGACATTATATGTTCACTTTGTCATTATTATATTACTGTGACACTGTTATATGTTCACTTTATCATGCTGATATCACTGTGACATTATATGTTCACTTTGTCATGATTATATTACTGTGACACTGTTATATGTTCACTTTATCATGCTGATATCACTGTAACATTGTTATATGTTCACTTTATCATGATTATATCACTGTGACATTGTTATATGTTCACTTTATCATGCTGATAACTGATAACAAATACTTATCTATTACAGATTACTACATATGGGTCTATCCTTACTGCAGGGAAATAACCTACCTAACAATGTCATCAAAGGAGTTCTCAGAGAAAGGGTCTATAATACTGCACTAGATTTTTATGCGTATGTTTATTATTCTTTAATATGCCCGGAAAGAAATTCACCATAACTATAATGAAATGCACATGGTATCCAATCTATAAGCAATTTCATGTTTGCCCTGTATGTTTGAAACCTATATAATTTGAAATTGAATCTACTTGGTACAGAAACATTAACAATTAAAAGATATAAGACTATGCACAGGTTTGGTTGTACTTTCTGAGATCATAATTGGCCCTGTGCTGGGGCTCACTTTGTTCATATAGAGTTATATAAGAAAACACATTTTAATCTTGTGTGAAATTATAAATTCCAGAGCTTTGATATTTAGCATGTATGATTGCCTTATGGTCATTTACAAAAGTTATGTAATTCATGAAATCATAAAATTATTACATTACAATATATAGAGGGCCAGTGATATGTCCCACACAACGAGGGTCAGATCTGAGAGAGGACGTTATAACATGTGTCAAGTTCTGGAATGTTGTACATCAAGACAAGAAATATCTGCATGAGAATATATTCCAACCTCCTATAGGTGAGCTTTATTTAGATTTATGCAAGCCATTCATTTGATGAAATTAAGTGACAAGGCAAATTGCATATTTGTTGTTGAAAACAATATACACTTGTATTTGTTAGTTATGTCTTTTGAACTAATTTTTTTAGTACATTCTTTTCATTACAAATCTCTAAATGTGGCTTATACAATGTTACATTTATTTGGTTGGTGAACTTGAATTTGTAGATTTTACAATGATGATGATTATTCCTGTTTGATATCTTACATTGTTTGTTTGATTTGGATGTCTGATCTTGTTTATTTTACCTGTTTTTCTAATATTATGTGTCTCATTATATTTGTGTGATTCTGTCTTATTCTTTATGCCTAATTAGATTTATCCATTGTCTAATTATCTATGCCTATAATCCTAATACTATACTGTGTTTGATGATATAGAGGAGAAAGAGATGGATGATTTCTCCAGTGTTAACCAGATGACAATATCCAGTAGTCAGTCTAAGAAATGGCTCATGTCTATAAATAGTGGGGTTTCATCAGTCTCCAAGAGATCTACCAGTAAGTTCTTTATAACGATATGTTTATAATATCATTTATCTATAACAGAATGTTTAAGGGCCTAAAATATTGCAGGACCAAACAAAACCAAGCCCTCCACAAGTTACCTGTACAGTGATGGTATTGGAATAAAGAAACAAAACACCTCACTCTTTTACAATAAGCATTGTTTATCTATTATTATGATCTGATGACAAGATGTCAATTTACAATAGTTGTATATGCTTTTATGTTTCCAAAAGGATGACATATAGTTTCTTTTATGTCCGTGAATGGTGGCATATAGATTTTGAATTATCTGCCTGTCTGTCAGTCTGCTTTTGCCAGGTCCATAACTTAGTTATTCATGGAGGTATTTTAAATTAATGTTTCATAAATGTTTAGTAGCACATTGAGATGATGTGTTACATTTAAGACTCAGGCTTGTAGGTCAAAGGTAAAGGTCACACTTCTGTTGGAAAGGAATTTTCGAAAAGTGCAGATGGCTGTGTCTGGTAAATAAATGGATTGTAAAATAACTTACCATAAATGATGACATGTCACCTCAAGAATTAGCTCAATGGACAAGGTCACACTTAATTAATTGTAAAGGAAATTTTACATTCAAATACATTAACGTCCTTGTTTAGTGAAAAATCCTGTTATTAATGTGGATTAAATAAAAAAAATACTTTGCATAAATCTTAAAATTTGTTGCACATTTAGATGACATGTATCAAGCTCTTAAGAATCAGGTCACACTTAAATGCCTATGATTGTGAAAAGACAGTCTTGTTTTGTACATAACTTTGTTTTTCATGTATGAATATTGAAAACTTATGTAGAAATATTCAGTTAATTAAGAGGACATCTTTTGATTTAGGGCTAGTTCAACAGCTCAAAGGTCAAGGTCACACATGTTAAAAATCATATGATAATGCATTACCATGTCCATATTTTGTCATTAAGTGACCGATACATAAAAGCAAAGTGGAATGAGTGAGAACAAATTTGTAGTGGTCATGGTCACACTTTCTGACTTTAAAGGAAGAAATCCATTCATAATGCTACATTGATAATTGTATCTGGTCATTAAATCAATTGTTTGAAATGACTTGGCATAATTTTGTAGTACATTATGAAGAAGACATGCCATTGGTAAATTCAAGATTTTTTACCTATTATGTAAAGAATAATTTTTTATGCTTTTTATAATCATTTAATGTTTTATTTTTACACCAGGAAAATATTTTATAGGTATAAATTTGTTTTATACTGTTACAGTTCTATTTTACTTGTTTTAGTTTTATCTTGAGTCAGTTCAAGTTGTGCTCAATATTAAAGCTTTCAATCATAACAAATGAGCAAAATTTCCTTGTTGAACATTTGCATTCTTTGTTCATTTAATATAAAGTTTAATAATGACAGAGTGAATTAATGAATCAGTGTTTTGTAAAATGATTTACAAATAACTAAAGTTATCAGTTAATTACAAACACATTTATTACAGTATGGTAAAGCAATAGTTTGTGTTTCATACATTTTAACTTCATCCTTATGTCATACAACATTAACAATAGATTTGTTGACTCTAAATTTCACTGGTAATATTCTTAAAGTTACATTTAATAAATTTCATAAAAACAGAAATAGAGACATTTCATTAATAAATTGTGTTTCACAACGACTCCAGATCTTATCTTGATGTCCGGACAACCAAAATGAGTTTTTATAAGCATAAAATCTGCAACCTCATTCTGGCGAATTCGAAAGTACAATTTCTATTTGCATGGGAAACTCCGCCTTCGGATCATCCGTACATCAATATTAAATCAACAAACATGACTATAAGTAGCAGTCCTAATTTAACGGTATATTTCCGCATTGTATTGGATGTTTTCATACAAATTTTATCTTTTTAATGAGATGATTACTTTTTTCTGAACCTCAGGCTTAGTGCACCGTGAAGCTTAAACGGTTAAAGTGTGTTTGCACAAGAAAATCTCATATTTGCTGTGTCCATATAGCAACTTTAACACTGTGACGTAGCGCATACACAAGCTGATTATAGACTTCATTTGCATGTTAAAATTCGTATACGAACTTTAGTGTTACCGTGGCAAAATATTTTTACATATTTATTTAATGTTATTTTAACATTTCAATAACTAGTACTTACAAATAATGAAATTACTTTGCTTTATTAGTCACATCTACCTTATTATTTGTTTTACAGGCAGCAGAAAGCAGAATCAACAAAACAATACATATTTGAGAGATTATATTAGAAAAAGGGGTCTTCTTCTTACAATGCTGGTATGTTTTTATATGAGTAACTGGTAAGGGTGTAACGGTTTACCGGTATACCGATATATTGCAATATGGAAAAATTAATTTTGTACCGCAGTACGATTTTTGGAAAACCGGTACTTTATAAAATTCATATTTTCAATTAATTGCCTAGCTTCATATTTCATACAAATTTCGCATAAAATCTTTAATTGGCGAATTTTATTAGCGCCAAGCCGCCAACATAAGATAAAAATATCCGACCCAGATGCGAAAGGTAACGCGCGACTAGTTTTGTTTATCAAATTGTGTGACACTTTACTTTCTATGTATTCCTTACATTTTTATTAAGTTTCTACTAAGAATATATATAATAATAATATATAATGTTACTCCATCTTTACATCAAAACATATACGCAACAATATGTATTGCAATATATTGCAATACGCTTCGGCAAAATGGCAATATATTGCAATACGGTTTTTGCCGTATTGTTACACCCCTAGTAACTGGTGTGTATGAGTTATACATGTGTATATCTTAAAAACTGGTACAATTATGTGTTTTGTACCTGTTAAATTGTATATTTGTTTATATACCTGAGTAACTGGTAAATGTGTATATACCTGACTAACTGGTAAATGTCTTTATACCTAAATAACTGGTAAATGTGTTTATATACCATAGTGATTGGTATACATGTTTATATATCTTAGAAACTGGTATGTACTTATATAGATTATATAGGTTTTCCAGTTTATTTTGGCTGAGTTGTGGCCTTTGAATAAAAAAGCATTTTGGCCTGTTCATGATTTTTGTGTCACACAGTAGCTGCAACATGCTACAAAATAGCCTTCACATAAAGGTAATAAATTGTTCAATCACCCCTCAATACAACTGCTTAATTGGCTATCATCAGGCAACACATGTGATCACTGATTGCTGTTGTATTTTGCAAGTACTATAGAACTATTTTATTTCTTTGTATGCAAGTACTCTAAAGATGTTTATATTTTGTAGGCAAGTACTGTAGAACTGTTCACAACATGGCACAATCCAATGGAGTTACTAGAGCTTAAAGTTAAGGATGAGGAGAAAGCCTTTGCTTGGAATACTGTTATATCAGAGAAACAATGGCGGGATTATGCTAGACTTGCCTGGGAAATCTCTCCAGTCCTTGCTGTCTTCTTCCCATCTAGGTCAGTCTTGCTTATATTTTAATACCAATCCAACTCTAGTGAATGACCCTTATAAATATTTAGGTAAGTCAAAGGTCACTGTGACCTTGATTCTGAAATGCTTGATCAACCAATAATAGCATTTTATATTGATGTTTGGCATTGACCCCAAGGCAATGGATTTTGCTTAAATGGCCATTACAATTTTATTAGTAGAAGTATTTATTTCAACACCTAGGGTAGAGCAAGTCAGGTGGATGTGACCTTGACCTTTAAATGATTTTGACCAAAGAAGTCAAAGTAGGTCAAAGGTATCACTTAACACTTAGTGTAAAATGTTTTGTCTGCTTGATAACGTAAGAAAACAAGCCTAAGTTTGTAACACATGGTAGGGACATTGCAAATGGTAATTTATTGACCCCTATTGATTTTAAGTTCATTAAGTCAAAAGCCAAGGTCACATACTGGAAATTGTAAATTGTTATGGATGAACCAAACATTATTTAAGACAAAATGGTAATGTGAAGTAATTCAAATATGACATTGAACTTTAAATGGAATTTATCCTTAAGGTGAAATATGAAAATCTTTTTAAATTCTTTTGATTTATGTATATATCTGATTAATATTTGAACTCGACAATATGTCTGATAACTGCCTGAAGTGTATATGAATTGAACCTCTTGTCACCAAGGTCTTTGATTTTTTCTGTATCAAATTTGCCATAACTTTGTTATATATTATTAAAATATATGTTGATGAGTTTGGTTTATCCTTGGACAAAACTACTTTAGGACCAAGTTTCATATTGAATAATTCAGATATTACCATGACATAAAAAAGATATTCTATTGTTGTTTTTTTTTGCATTCAGTATTAAGAAAAGTCAAGTGTGATGTTTGTTTGTTTTGGGAGTTAAAACTGTATACTTGTGTATTTATCACCTTCAGAGATAGTTTCAGTTGTTGTTACCTTGTCAATTGTGTTTTCTTGTGTCCTTTAATAATGTCTCTGTTGTACATAGGCAAACTGCTTTATCCAATATCTCATCTGATTTTAAAACATTTTGAAACTCAGAAATGTATTTTTATTATTTTTATGTCTGTTTAATAAAGGTTCCGTAACTCTGATGCACTGAGGATAGAAGTGACAAGACTGGTGAGGAATAATCCTCTAGCTGTGAGCAACATTCCTGAAGCTATCAAATTTGTTGTTACACCTAGCAGTGTTGAGTCAGATTCCCCAGAGGTAAGATATGCCCCAAAACTATACATGTAAATGTTGTATAACACATGCACATCTTGAAATTAATAGAATAAAAGCTATAGATCAAGGTAACTGTGTCACTTGTTGTAAAATTCTTGTGTGATCAAAAACTGGAGATAAAATAAATCTAAATTTTTCAAACTTGGTAAGGGACATTTCCCTGGCCATTTAATGACTTCTATAGACTTGAAGATCATTAGATAAAGGTTGATTAGAAATCTTTATTTAATCAATAACTAGTCTCCTGTTAAACTAAATTATAAGTATATTTATGTAAATATGACGCTGTGACAGGCAATGAAGTCAGGAGGTACATTTGTAATTTTATATATAGGTAGATGGTATATTCTTTTATCATGAAACATTCATGAATTTGATATATATACATGTATTATTTCAAAGCGTGTAAGAATGTACATTCTATAATTATAAGTTATTTATGATTTCAGTTAAGCCAGATATTGACATGGTGTCCTATATCACCATTGGTATGCCTGTCCTATTTTTCACGACTGTTTCCACCCCACCCGCTCACTGCTCAATGTGCAGTCAAACAGCTTCATAATGCACCTACAGTATGTATATTTTCATCACTATATAATGTTTAAGTCTAATACTACAGTAGCTCAATATTCCAAAAAATAATAGTGTATGTATATAATGTGTGGGTGTCTGTTGCCAAGCGATTAAGGTCTTTGACTTCAAATCACTTGCTCCTCACCTCTGTGGGTTCGAATCCTGACACAGACTTGGTTTCTTTCATGTGAGGAAGCTATCCAGCTAGCTAAGGAAACATTACTGGTTCTACTCTGGTGCCAGTTCATGTCTGAAATAATGCAAGGAAGGGCACCTTAGGTCTTTTTCCACCAGTAAAGCTGGATTCATACTGTTGTTGCGAAGTTAAAGCCAACCAAAAAAAAAAAAAGTGAACCATTTGCCTGCTGGAAATGGGTCATTTGCATTTTCCGCCAGTATATAGCCAGGCCAACACCTACATTTGTGTAGTCTGACAAGGCTCTTTATTGTTGACTGACTAATTTTAAAGTTTCATCTTGAATCCGAAAAACTGATAATGGACAGTTCCTAATATGAGAGCTGGAATAGTCCATTTAAGAAATTCAGTACGCAATATGTTAACCATAATTTTGTTAGTGGTCATAATTTTTGTAAAAGGCAAAACTAAAATAATATTTGAGGTATCAATTTGATACATGGTAGATATTAAAGTAGGTTTTATTGTGGAAAAATGCAGTGTTCAAAGACAATAATTCTCTTCTGTATAGTTTTTTTAGTTCTAGCTTGTCTATTTTTTCATGCCTAGTTATTGTTCAGACTGAGAGTATAACTATAAGTAAATATTATTATTTTGTGATGTATCAACTTAAGACTGTCTGACTTTCCTACTCACTAAACAGTTGGTACTTGGATATCTTAATCGGAACAGTTGTATTACTAGTTCCCATAGTTTTAACAAACTGAAAACGATATAGAGTTGTGATAATGTAAACAAATTTCTGTGATTGTTATTATATTAATTGTTGGTATATTTCAGGAAGCATTGTTATTTTACATTCCCCAGCTGGTGCAGGCAGTAAGATATGATACTGTAAGTGTTTGTTTATCTGCCTCTCATTTAAAACATTTATTACTAGCTACTTTCTAGTTCCATAATTATATCAATGGAAATTGTCAGATTTAATTTTTGGCTTTTCGGAACACAAAATACAAAATATTATTTTGTGACAGCATGTTATATGACATACATCATTCATAATATCTTGAACAACTTCTTTTAAACCATATGATATACTTTGATCAAATTTCACTGGAGTTATTCTCATGTCAACCTCTACAAAGTTACATATGAAAGCTAAAATGAAATCTTTAAAATAATCTCTAAGAAACTAAGTGCCCAGAGCTGTTAAATATAAGCTATATAAATCTTGATCACTGATTTTTGGGTCACTGTATTTACATAGTCTATACAGGAAAACACGCATAAATCTTCTTGTTTGAATCTACATGGCCTAGATCTTTGATGATTTTAATTATGACCAAGTTCAACTTTTATGCTTTTGTACGCTTAAGAGAACTTAAAGTTTGACCTTTAATGACATTGTATGTGAACCAATCATATACAGCTGCATCAAAGAAATTATTACTTTTCTAGTGCATGTACTGTTGTTGTTAAAATGATCAAATTTTATTTATTTTCTCACTTAAAAAATAATAGTTTGCTCTCTTTTAAAAGAAATAACAGATGATTGTCTGTGATAAATTTTCAATTTTTACATTTTATTTCATGAATGATTAGTTGTTAATTTAAAATATTTTCAAACATTTATTTTTAATTTGTATAAATGATTACAGTTATATATAATTAGTGTGAGATTTTGTGTTTCTTTAAATAAGATGTTTTTTCAATTTAAAACATGAATATTGAAGTGTGATCATAATTATCTTGTTTAACATTTATAGATGGGCTATGTGACAGATTTTATACGCTGGGCAGCCAAGAATTCTCAGTTATTAGCTCATCAGTTACTATGGAACATGAAAACTAACAAGTTTAGAGATGAGGAGGGCTTGGAGAGAGATGGTACATTAATTTTCTCACTAATATGTGTTGGTACATCATGTATGTAAAATATCAGTTATATAGGTTGCTGACAGGGTAAATAAATGATTGCTTTTAATATAACTCTCACCAGCCGGCTCAAGTTATATATACAAACAATTGTTTATATAAGACCATATAACCTGTCAAAAAAAAAAATATAACTAATAATATACAGGGGTTAGAATATTTGCATTATTATGAAATGCATCTTCTACTCAATTTGTACTAGAGGGAAAAGGTTTATTATTGCTTGTGGAAAAGGCATCAAAAACCATCATGGGCTTCTTGTTTAGATACATTTTCTGACTACTTTATCAAGAAAAGCTTTTTAGTACCAGTCCACTAATACAAGTTCTGACAATAGTCAAGCATGCTATCTTAACAGTGCTGGTGTTACTTAAAATCCAACGTAATGTGTATTAGAGACAGCTATTGTTTTGCGCAGCCCTGATGTGATTTAAGTTGTCTTATTAGAGTTATTGTATATGTATTACAGCGGAGATTGGAGAACAGCTGGAGATTTTAATGCAGGAGATACAAGACCAGCTCTCTGGTTCTGCTCTACAATTCTACCAGAGAGAATTTGACTTCTTTGGACAGATCACAGATATTTCTAGGATCATCAAGTAAGTTCATAGCAAGATATATTTTGATCCTGCTTAAAATATCATTCAGTGACTGATAATTATTGCAGAATGGGATATATCTAGCATAATTATTGTAAAATACAATTCTGTTTCAAAAAACTGTTTAGATTATTGAATTTTAATAATGAGTAAGTTCACACATGGACTTAATGATAAAATATTTGTATAAGATTTATTAACTGTATAATTATGTTGTTTCCATCATCTTATGGTCAATTCTTGAAAGAGTTGTAACATAGAATTTGAGTGTCAAATTAATAAGAACACCTCTTATCATCACAAATTGTTAAGTTAATTGATTGTGTTTAATTTTTCTACAGGCCATTCCCTAAAGGTCCAGAGAGAAAGAAGGCATGTCTAGAAGCTTTAAGTAAAATACAGTTACAACATGGTAAATACATTTTCTTTTTGTTTAGCATGTCTCTTTTTTCTAGCATAACAAATTAACTGTTGTACCATGAGTAAAACAGCAAGAAAAATAATTGTAAAAAAAAAAAAATGTTCTTCAAATCCCATTACGAAGTTGTCTTTCTACTAATGGAAGATATGTTTTAAAGAATTATTTATTTATATAATACAGGATGTTATTTGCCATCAAATCCAGAGGCTATAGTGAAGGAAATAGACTATAAATCTGGAACACCCATGCAAAGGTAATATTATCAGGTGTCAGGTTCATGAAATAAACTGGACACATTTTTTTATGTATTATTTTGTAAATATAAATAATTTGCCTTATACATGTATATTTTTTTTTTTGCAGAAAAGTTGGTGAAATGTGTATTATTAATGTTTCATAAGAAATAATCAAGTGAACTTTGTTGATAAAAAGTGTATAAAATATAAAACATAGTTTCATTTTTTAAAAAGTGCTTTTCTCCATATAGACTGTTTTTATCACTTTTCTCACCAATAAATCTGTAAATATTGTTCTATATATAAGAATGAACAATATATTTACAGTGCTGCAAAAGCTCCATTTTTGGCACGATTTAAAGTAAAGCCATGTGGTATACACCAGTTAGAAGACCTGGGTTTGAGCAACACTGAAGGTGAGGGGAATGAGAGGAGACAAGTATCAGCTATGGTATGGCAGGCATGTATCTTCAAGGTGGGCGATGATGTTAGACAGGACATGTTAGCACTACAAGTCATTAGTCTCTTTAGGAATATATTTGAACAGACCGGCCTTGATCTCTATCTAGCTCCATACAGAGTGGTTGCCACAGCTCCTGGGGTATGCTATTTTGTTGTTTAACATGTCCAAATTTATATTCAAATTAAACAATAGCAGAAGTTTTTAATGAAAAGTTTTATCAAAATGATTGTTTGTTTGCAAGACAAAATTATTGTTTGTAACTTGAAATTATTTTTTTTTCGCCAAATGTAGGTAGGAAATAATTGGTAGAAAAATGCCAATGAACTTTCAAAGTAGAATTTTGTAGGCCTAACACTCCCCTGGGTTGATAAGTCTGAAAAATCATATTGCTATTCTTATAGTTTTTCCATTGAACAATATTTACAACAAGAACTGTAGATAATACATTGTATATTGTTGTATATTTTCAGTGTGGTGTTATAGAGTGTGTACCTGACAGTAAATCACGTGATCAGATTGGTAAAGCTACAGATATCAGTCTAGATCAGTATTTTATACAGAAATATGGAGATCAGGATACTCCATCATTCCAAGATGTAAGTTCTTCACTCTCTTAGACTATACCTCCTGCATTGTACAGCTGATCATTACAAAAAAGTTTAACTCATCTGAGCACAGAGTGCTTATACCTGAGCTTTTGTGACAGCATGTCTGTTGGCATTATTATTTCAATGTTAAAAAAAATCATCTCCTGAAACCTTTGTGGATTTTGACAAAAATTCACAGATATGGTACTAAAGTAAGAGAGTATATGTTAAAGATTATTATGTCCATTTGTCCAAATTTTGGATCTAAAATTGATAATTGTATGTGAAGATACAGTTTACATATGTGGTATAATGACCCTTAGATAATCTATGTATAACTCAAAGCCTAGATTGAAAAATCAGATAATATAGATTAACAGTCATTTCACAAGAATTTTTTTTAAAAGGTTGGCAGTTTCAAGTTTCTCACTTCTTTTATTATATGTGTAAGTTTATAACAAAGAATCACAACAAATTGTGTATGAGAACTACATCTTGTTGTTAATGTCTCTGTCAAATGATTTAGCATACAAGTTTGTTGTAATATAATTTTATTTCCAAATATTGATAAAACTTGTACATGCATTGAATATGAATGACTATGTGTTATATTTGTAGGCAAGGAGAAACTTCATTATGAGTATGGCAGGATATAGTTTGATCAGTTTTCTGTTACAAATAAAAGATAGACACAATGGAAATATAATGATAGACAGTGCTGGACATCTTATACATATTGGTAAACTTATTATATTATAGTAAATACTGTAATACTTAACCCTTACCATAATAGACTTGTATGTGTATCCTGGAATCAGCTTGTCCATCTTGAGTTAACATAGACCTTCACCACTTTATTTATGAGAGGTGCATGTTTTAGTAATCATTACACTCTTTTGGATAATTGTAGTTATAACCCTTTGTAATTATTCCTACTGTTTTTGTATGTAGCAGAATTGATTGTATCGAGACTATTAATTTTAAGCTCTATAGTTTGATCAATCTCTTTGAATAAATAAAAGTGAATGGGTTTGGAGGGCACTTATCTGCCCTTTGTAATTGTAGAATAACTCAGAAGTGTTGAACATATAAACTGTAATCTTCATAGAGGGATATATCTTATTGGAGAGAAATGCATTGTTCAAGATACCACTCTATACTAGACAAGTAATTTTGGGTAACAAAACTTGTGTAAACTGATATTTTCAGATTTTGGATTTATGTTTGAGAGTTCACCAGGTGGAAATCTGGGCTGGGAACCAGATATGAAGCTAACAGATGAGATGATAATGATAATGGGAGGTAAAATGGAGGCAGAACCATTCCAGTGGTTCATGGAACTATGTATACAAGGCTACCTTGCTGTTAGGTTAGTTATGTCTGATATTTTGTTTTTAAGTAGAAACTTAAATATTGGCTTCATTATGTACTTCTCTGAAACCACAAAACATGTAGCAGATATCTAGAAAGTGTCATAATGTTGTAGTCAGCTGTCAAGATCGTTCAAATTAAATCCATGATTAAAACTGACTCTGCCCTAGGTGTCACTTGTTTCAGTAAAGGCTCATCAATCTCCCACAGTGTGAGCCGTTCCAATCATCTGGTCAACATTTTGATGTGTACCCCAAAACTTAAATGCCTGAAGAGTTTCTAAAATAATATGGCACAAATTATCATCATTATGAGAGGATATGCAGAGTGCAACAACCTGTTGTAAAATCAGTTACATATTCTAAAATACAATTACATGTACAATGGCCTGAGACAGCTATGTACTACAGAGGAAATATTAGCACTTATTTGTTGATTGTAAGTTTCAGTAATGGTTACACTAAATTTAGAATTGATTTCCTGGACAGATCCCTTTGGCATGTAGAATCATCGGGTCAATCACCATGATCAAGACACATAATCTTTAAATGGTTGAAATTGGACCTGTTCTGTAGATCACTTAATATCCCTTTATTTGTGCAAAAGCAAAACCTATCTTAGTTTGTAAAGGTAATTTTTAGCTCGACTATTCGATAAGAATAAGTAGAGCTATTGTAGTCACCCGAGCGTCGGTGTCGGCGTCTGCGTCGGCGTAACCACTTATGTGAAAGTTTTTGTAATAGTTCAAATATTTTCAAAGTCCATTGACATATGGCTTTGAAACTTTGCACACTTGTTCACAATCATTACCCCAACCTGTAAACAGGAGGAGGTAACTGTATCAAGCATTTTGACAGAATTATGCCCCTTTTTTTACTTAGAATTTATGTTAAAGTTTTTGTAATAGTTCAAATATTTTCAAAGTCCATTGACATATTGCTTTGAAACTTTGCACACTTGTTCACCATCATTACCCCAACCTGTAAACAGGAGGAGGTAATTGTATCAAGCATTTTTTTTACTATCAAGCACTAAGAATAGTCGAGCGTTGCTGTCCTACCGACAGCTCTTGTTATTATAGCTGCATTGATTGTGGTTGGAAGTCATGTACATTTTGTGATTATAAATAAATTTTGACCTTGAGTGAATACAGCTATGACTTTTAAAAGTTATAGCATTCAAATTTAGACCACATGTACAATAATATGTCAGGAATAACCTTTGACATTGGATGACCTTTAAATTTTAACATCTCAAGAGGACCATAAATTATTAAGGCCCTTTTCTAAAATTCTAGTAGTTGTACATGTATTATATATTATTTACAGACCGTATCAGGATGACATTATTTGTCTGGTATCATTGATGTTAGATACAGGACTGCCGTGTTTCCGTGGTCAGACAATTAAACAATTACGTCAGAGATTCCAGCCTAACTCTAACGAGAAGGAAGCAGCCAAGTATATGACTGAGATAGTAAGAAAGTGTTACTTGAGTTGGTGGGCCAAATCATATGATGCTATACAGGCAGCACAGCAAGGCATCTTTCATTAATCTATACAAACAAACTCTTTAACCACCAGCTTTGATGATGTCAAGTCTTATACCTCATTAATGCAATCCGACATTATAACTGCAGTTTTAATGTAATGAATTAGAACTCCTTCACTTTAAAGTGGAACAATAATAAGCCAATCATAGAATTATACTCTGCAGTAAAATATGTTATGGCGATGAAATACAAAATTTTTATCGTTTTACTTTTAACAGAAACTTTTTCTATTCATTTTAGTATATTTATTTGCTTGAATATATATGTATTTCATCAGTGTATGATAAATTGAACAAAAAATGTATTCCTGTTGTAAAATAGAGATTATGATATTAGCTCACCAGAGCACAAACTGCCCTATATGTGAAGTAAGAAATTTTTGATTGTCTAATGTCTGTTGTCTGGTGAGTGTTGTCATTCAGTGTTCACAATTTCTTTATAGGCACATTACGCCTCAGAAATTAGTACAAAATGCATTGAGAGCTTGTTAGTTACTTACGAGGCATATTTACTTCTGAAATAGTTTGTCATAATACATGTAGCAAAATATAAATAAAGCGTTACTTGTCTTCCATACAAAATACTTAATCACTTTAACTTAACAAATAAGCCAAAAACCAAAAGATGGTTAACAGAATATTAAAATAAAATGTTTTTTGAGAAATAAAAATGATAATTATTACATTTATTTTTATAATGGCCCTTTACACAATATTTACTTATTTGCTTTAAAGTTAAACCCACATATGGTGAATTTTTATCAAAGTTGAGGGGAATCATCCTCACTGAACAAAACTTTAAAAAAACTTTAATAAATTGATCAGTTCTAGTCAGATGCATATGCAGTTTTACAGAAGTTAAAATAAACTATTGAATGATATCTTAAAAAATCTTAAAGTTAGAAACAAAGAGTCCTAGAGCTAACATGCTTTTATCAAGTATAACCTAATACATATACATGTAGTTGCTTAAATCATTTAAGTAAAACTATTTAGAACGAAGCATCGCCATGTGAACTGATAAAAATTTATATGCATTATAGACAAATCGGCAAAATTGTCTTTTCCTTTGGAACTTTATATCTTCTTCTCCATTAACTCTGGTGAACAGTATGTATTCTTTTGAGCGTCTTTTTAATTTTATCAACATAGTATGTTGTCAAAAATGTGATATATTATTATTATAGCTATTGTAATCATGTTGATGTTTTATTGTATGAGATGTGGGTCCTGTGCAATACTATGTGATACATTATTTCTTTTCTGAAAAACCAGTGTTGTCCGTGCAGAGAATCTGGTATTGTAAATGATTCTATTTTCCAGAACTACTTTATGTCACCCACCATAAAATTTAGGGGCATGCACAATCGGATTTCCAAAAAATCAAGAAGAAATCTACATAACCATCGTGAGATGACGTTGTGTTTAATGCATGCCTATGAAAAACGATAAATCTAATATTCAATAACTATTGTCCTGTAGACACATGTTTAGTTTTAACTTGCAGACTTTGATTTTATAGAAAGGAATACAAATTTATTCATGCTCTTTCTTTTCCTGCTAAATATAATATGAAAAATATTTCAGGTCATCTTAAGAAAATTACACTGTATGGATATTATGTTTAATAATAACATGCATCACCAATTAAACATTTATGTTATGTACCAATGTAGATCAATTTATCTAGTAATTTAAAGAATTTTCTAGAGAACACCATGTTGTACATGTTTAAAGTGAACTATTAAACTATGTACCCTTAAACTGAAATAAAACCTTTGACAAAATTCTAAGTTATCTTTATTATTTATAGTGTACATTCCACAAGATGCAGTTTTATCAATAGATAATGTATTGACTCTTGTATTTACTGTCTTGGAAATATATCTTGATTTTGGAAGTACATTGTTGGTATAATCTTGCACAATATGAAGTTTAGATGCACAATGGCTGTAGGCTGTGTGTCCAGTCTATAAAATTCTTTACCCTTTAAAGGAGTTTCATCAATTTACCGCAACACAGCAATGTTGAGGCCTTGTTCAAACTCCGTCAGGGGCAGTCATTTTTTGTTAAGCAAGTTTATTTACCCATTGCTTAGTACTAGTTGGTTCAAAGATCATATTTGATAATGTGTTTTAAGCTTATAGCTTCATACACACACTTTAATAGACTGTGCCGGTATGATATTTGTATGGTAACGTCGTTGACATCATTTTCATGCGTCACTTCTCACGGCTGTGCTTTACAAATGTGTCTCTTGTTTTATGTACACCAAACTTTACATGATATATTATAAAACATTTGTTCATTTGTATACTGACATTGCTTGTTGCACTACAAAGCTAGTTAACAGTGTCTCGTTTATCAGAGGGGTTTTCCCCTCGTAAAACAGATCTTAAACTGGGAATATGTCAGAATATCGGGGGATACATATAAAAGTACTTGGTTGTAGAAATCTTTGTAAATAAAAAATGCCAATGATTGTGATATGCTGCAACTTACACTGACAGATTTATAATTAATAAATGTTCTGTAACTGATGAAATACTGAATATCAAGATTACTAGATAATAACGTTTGACTGATAGTTGATTTAATCTCTTGTGCTTTTAAGGAGTTTCAAATAAAACACGACGCTGTCATTTTTTTTGTGTGAAAATTCCGCAATATTTAATTTACAGTACATGTAAACAATATATTAAGTTGAAAGACATGTTATGATTACATGATTTTAAGCACCTAAAGATCATTAAGCTGTCCTGGTTGAAAATTATTTCACTTCATATATAGAACGTTTCCTACGTGTAACTCGAATTTCTACAATCACATATAAAGTCATAGCAACCACAAGTAGAACTAACGCTATCATAAGTTTTGTTGAGACACATAAAAAGTTCCCATAGACAAACGTTATAGAAAACCCGACAGCTTTCCACGTGTGATAATTAGCGAACGCAGCGTCTTTCTTCTCCGGAAACAGAAGTGCCACCAACGCTGAAATAATAAAATATAAAATTTTGTTTTACTGTAATTCATCAACACCATATCAAATTGTGAAAGCATTTATATTATCAAATTACTTTTGTCATGTTAAATGGCCTAGTATCACGGGGAGTAACCTTACTTAGGCAGAGCCGCAAGGCAAACAACACTTTATAATTTTCAAACTTCTATTAAAGCTTTATTTGTGGTCAAAATGAGACTTCACACCGACAGTTGTCACAAAATAGGCAATACTTAATCTTACCATTAGATTGCGTTTGCCATATTCCTTCAGCCAATCCCCAGATGACTGGCAACACAAATATGAGCGTTATATCATCACGTTGAGGTATCCATAAGTATAGAGTGACCAATATACCAAAGTTTACCAGCCCTGCCACGATAAATAGCAAGTGACGTCCAGTGTATTGAGATATTTTACTCAGACTTAGAGCGAAAAATGTAGTCGAGCCGCCATATGCCGACATCACGAACCCAATTTTCTGTATTCCAACAGGGCAGCTGATAAATGCCTAAATAATAATATACGTTATAATCATCATATAAAATCAACTATAAATAAATCTAAAACATTATATATGTGGCAGTGCATATCAGTATATATTACATATATATTGGTAGAAATATCATTCCTTGGTCCAATCGAATTCAGGTCGAAATTCAATGATAAAATTGTGATTCTCAAAAGAAATTACATTTTACGTTCTATTTTCGAAAGAATCTATAAAAGACACATTTCATTGTTTTGTTTAAGCAATACTGAAAGCGTGTTATTTATTTAGTTCACTCTTAGCCTGATGACGTCATTGGAAACTCATTTAGTTAAAACATAGCCTAATGTCGGCAATAGATATTACCACGCAGACTGCACTGTTCGCTTTTCAGTCAGTATTTCTTTTTTTTTCTTTTTTAAGTTGACGATTGAAAGATGGGCAAGTCCATTTAAGTTATTTATTCTGGTTAGGGTTGAAATATTTTTTACCTTGGTATAATCTGTCCACAGAATCGCTTGTTCCATCGCCATGAACATGATTAGCGGAACAAGTAAAACTAGATTAACATCGAGCAAACCTTTCCCGCACAAAGTCAGAGAACTTAAAACGTTTGTTTTTTGTTTCGAAACTTGTTGTTTCAAAGGCGGAAGAAAACATGATGTGAGGATAACACCGGCAATATCACATGCTAAAAATATTCCTAGCAGAATATAAACTACACGATGTTCCGGTTCGTCAATGCTGGTAGCGTTCGTTTCAAGTGGACAGTCTGTCTTACCACAGTAACTTACTGTCTCATTGCTGGCAGATTTATCGTTGTACGAACCTTGCTGAAGAACTAGTGATGAAATTAAATTTCCAGTTATCTGAGTAGTTTCGTACATGGAAAAGAAGATGCCGTTGAATTTGCTCAAAATTGCATGTATATCTTTACCGGAAGTTGTCGCGTAGGAATATGACATTTCGGAAATGTAAATACTTTGAGATGTCCACATTGGTCCAGCCGTCATACCTAATAGCACAGAAGATGGAATCAATGTAAAGAATGAGGGATAAAAGTTCGTGATTGTGTAAATCACGTGACATAAAAATGAGATAATAAGCGTCCGTTTTTCTCCGATTACTTTTATTATTGTCGGTGCAAGAATTCCGGAAATGATTATGCATGCATACATGCTAGATAGTGAAATAATTCCAAGTCCATGTTCTTGATTAAGACTACTCTGTAGATTTTGTATAGCGAGGTATGCGGTAAAAACTGCAGTAAAACTTCCCGATAATATCAATACATTTCTCAGTTCTCTCCCTTTATGAGCATCATTTTCTTCCAGTTTCCCACTCGAACCCGTTTCTTCTTTCATAATGCTATAAATGTTGATAAAACATGTATATTGATAACAATTTGCAGAATTTTTTTTCTGAATAATTTATCTTAGCTTGTATTTTCGTTACAATTCAAGTCACTTTTGTCATCTTAAGAAAGCATTATTTAACACCAACATCAACAACATTACAAAAGCATGACATCGTTTATCAAGAAGGAGGAAAGCATCTATTTTAATGTCATACAATAAATATTGTTTTTTTTTAGATTTATTTGTTAATTATTAAGTGGTATAATAATATAATAACCTACATAAATAGTAGAAAGTACAAAATGTAATTAATTCCCTAGTATAGATATTTAAACACAGGGAATAATAAAGTTGTATATAATTTTGAATATCTACTCACATTGCTATGTTTATCCATATACACTAATGTGAACTGTATGACTTTCTTGGTTTATCAGCTACAATAAGATACCACATATAAATCTAATGAATCTTCGTTATCGCACAATTATATGGCGGACATACCACGCGATATTAATTTTTTGGGGACTTAATTGAACACGATAGGTATGTCAACATTATTATGAAACATATAAAGCATATTGAATAAATAATTGGTTCAATAGTGAGTTTGTACATTGAATAAAATCATATTATGCGAGCCTCTGTCAAAACTTGGTATACAAATATGTAACCAATGCACTTTCAGTATTACCAATTTTACTTCTTCGTTTTCATTTTCCGAGTCCAAAAATCGATATCAAATCCTTATTGTACTCCATTTAGCCTCGTTTTCATTTTTAAAATTGTTATTTAATTCCGCATAGCATCGTTTTCGTTGTCAGTGTACGTCTGTACATAGCGCCTAGTCCAATATACTAGTAGGTTTGACATGTGGGCCTGGTTGTGAAATCTTGACAGCTGTGTACCTTTCCAATATAATTCAATATTGTACTCAACAATGTAAAGTTACCTCATATTATGATCAAACTTATATTAATCACAACGGCAACTTGCGTGTTAAAGATTCAAGATGGAAAAATATTAGAAGAACATTTCGGATTACTTCAATTAGATTTAATTTAACTTCGCATGACTGAAGAATACAAAAGATGTTGATATTATAACAGAAATAGAATAAACATAATTTGTAAATATTTGCAACCAAAAATTGAATGAAGTATAATAAATTATTGATGATGGATATTATTTTCTTCTTGGCTGTCCAGTATGTGGGGAGTTTAGCTCGAAAACTACACAACGTTTATTTTCTGTACGTTATGTAGTATAGCCGCAGAACGTTATGTGCGCGGATCACTGATGCGTATATCACGTGATCTACGCTTTTAACTCGGACTCGATTGTGAAGATTATTGTATTTTAGCCAATTGTTCTATATGATTTTGGAACAAGTATTTGATTGTATTTTAAAAACGCAATACAGATCTTTTTTTTCAAAAAATGCAAGTAACAGTCATGCAAATGGGTATATTTTAGCAAAGTAATTTAAACATGCTATAAGTTTATTATAATCAAACCCCGGTACCATAGCAATAGTTTAACTTCCCATACAATGTGGGCTGATTGTTTAATCTCTGGTTTTTAACATGAACTATCATACTTTACTCTGAAATGATACTTATTATACGAATTAAGACTTACAAGATGAAATTATTGTCTTTTTCTTTCTTACACGTAATGTCATAAAATTATGTATATTTTTTATATGTATGGAAATGAAGTTGTGAATTATTGTTTTGCAATATTGACTCGAGACTTATTTAATTTATGGAAGTTTTCCGTTGTTTCTCTTGTCACTTGTCAGACATTTATTCTTTTTTTTAAATACATAACAGAAATATGGGCAAATTGTATAAACAAGGGACATAATAATTACACGTCTCACATTATGTATTGGATCGTATTATCTCCCATAATCCGAAGTGACTTTTCATGAAATAAAATGTTTATTGTTTACTACTGTTCCATTTCACACTTGTTTAATGTTAAGGTAGCTTACAAATCAATCTAAATATATTTCTATATAGTTCATATATCAATTTTAACATATGCAACTATCGATTATAAATATATGCTTCTATAAACAGATGCTAATTTTGAGTCACATATCAATATAAACAAATGCTATTTTTGAGTCACATATCAATATAAACAAATGCTATTTTGAGTCAGATACCAATTTTGATATAAACAAATGCTATTTTGAGTTACATATCAATATAAACAAATGCTATTTTGAGTTACATATCAATATAAACAAATGCTATTTTTGAGTCACATATCAATATTAACAAATGCTATTTTGAGTTACATATCAATATAAACAAATGCTATTTTGAATCACATATCAATATAAACAAATGCTAATTTGGGTCATATATCAATATAAATAAATGCTATTTTTGAGACACATATCAATATAAAGAAATGCTATTTTTGAGACAAATATCAATATAAACAGATGCTATTTTTTGGTCACATATCAATATAAACAAATGCTATTTTGAGTCACATATCAATATAAACAAATGCTATTTTTGAGTCACATATCAATATAAACAAATGCTATTTTTTGAGTCACATATCAATATAAACAAATGCTATATTTGAGTCACATATCAATATAAACAAATGCTATTTTTTGAGTCACATATCAATATAAACAAATGCTATTTTTGAGTCACATATCAATTTAAACAAATGCTATTTTTGAGTTACATATCAATATAAACAAATGCTATTTTGAGTCACATATCAATATAAACAAATGCTATTTTAAGTTACATATCAATATAAACAAATGCTTTTTTAAGTCACATATCAATATAAACAAATGCTAATTTGAGTCACATATCAATATAAACAAATGCTTCTTATCACGAACAAATTTAAGAATATTTAAACAATTTGAATCTGTTCAGTATGTACAGGTTTGCAAAAAAAAAAGAATATATAATTAACTAGTGTAATAATGCATACATAAATCCTTTTATATATGATATATTATAGATACATTAAAAATCTAAAGTCAACACAAATATAATTTTGCAATAGTCAGCTGTAACCTTATGGAAAATAGTGGGGACTTTTATTTTTGTATTTTCAAAGTCCTGGCTCTCCGGACACACATGGAAATTCCCGTTAAAAGCAGGGCACTACGATTTTAAGTCGGTCATTTTCTGATAATCCTTACGCAAATAAAATAGTTATTTCGTTATTGATCGAACATTTTTTTGTTATGGTCAAAGTGAGCTTGACCTAAAGATTGATATCATAAGGGCTTAGTAAGATTTTTATTAACTAAAAGAATGGATGTAGAACCGACTGTTTAAAAGCCTATAAAAAGTAAAGAACTCGATATCTAGTATTTTCAATTCTGTTAACACATTCATGTATGACCAGTTTAAAATATGTACATTGTTATCCTGATACTATTGTTAAATCAGAATTTACAGGACAATCGGCAACAAATTTGTTTTCAATATCATTAATGTGTAGGAAAATACATTTTCTTGAAATTTTCAGAATATTTACGCATCTAAATATAATCTATGTATATCTACCACTTTCGGATATTAACACGGACATGCCGGCACTGTAATATTCACTTATTGAATTTTCCTTTAAATGATGGTTTTGTGAAGAATAACAGATGGACCAGTCGAATCATTTTGTAAATTAAGGTATTCCGCACTATAAAATACGCAACGTCGGTAATTCTACCCTAGTGCCCATTCGTGCCTGAAATAATGCACCTAGGGGCACATGAGATCTTCCAGGAAAGCCGCATTTACAGTGTTGGTGTGACGTAAACATTCCGCCCCCTGCCGCCACCCCCTCCCCACAAACCACCATTATCAAAATATATTATTACTATTATTATTTCTTTAAATATTGACCTTAGTTTGATTGAAATAAGACCAAGGTCATGATCTAACACCTAGTTTATTTGACTCTTTACGGGTGATTTTCAGTTTATTTCCAGGAAAAAAAAGAAACACCTAAAAATAGAATATTACACTCACGAAAGTCAAATAAAAACAGGACTGGGGCAAGCACGACCCGATGTCACGAAAACAGCCAGTTTGGAAATTATTACGACAGAAAATAACAGTGCATATGGTAAAATATGCCTTAATTGGAAACTGATATGTAAATCTTTAAACAATAAAAGACCTGTACGCACGAAAAAGCAATATTTCTTTATCTGTTGACGAAAATAGCCCTACCTGGACATGCCTTTATACTAAACAGCAATTTCCAATAATTTGCTTTTGTTTCTGTAAATATTGTAAATATGAAAGTCGGTCTAATAGTGTATAAAGTAATACCTGCTCGTCCATATGGTATGAGGGTAAACAAACAAAATAAACACATAAATAGTATATAATACGCGTTTTAAGATATAAAGCGAGTGGTAAGACAGACTAAACATTCAATTATTATTAAATAATCATTTGTATTGTAAAAATCTCCAAAATGCATTACTGTATAGCCAATTTAATTTAAATACGGGGCTTTTGCGTCAACTAACTTGTATGCTTTGACGAGTATATCTAGCGTTAATTTATTAAATACATATTTAATCATAAGACCATTAATATGGTTGCTTATACATGTATATTTAGACTATATTTGATCAAACTTTCATACAAGAGTCCACAAATAAGTGGTGCATTTATTAGAGGGTTTGTGAATCTTACTGCCAGATTTATATATTTAAAAAAAACTAAGGTATTGGTGAATGATTTACATAGTTATTGTTTATGTTTAGAGACGATTTTAATTGCCTTGTTGTTAGACATCAATGTTTACTTTTTGTTTGTATCTTAATGCGTGACACAACTTAAATTGTTCTTCATTGTTGATCAAATAGACATTACGAACACAAACTCGGCATTTCAAGTGTTTGAAATAGTTTATTAAAAATATTTGTCAAAACATAGATAATACAAATCTACTGATGATATTGATCAATGAAATTGTAGAAATATTCGGTTATTTTAGTAATTATACTAACACGGATTTACATACCTAAAATAGTTTAAAAGTTAACAAATCACTGTAATATTTTCACTCGAGATGGGTATTTTGTCATTTTTTTTTGTCAGACAGATAACAGAAATCTGTGGTTGGGTAGACATTCAAATTTAATTCACCCCTTTTTAAATACGTGTAGTAGTATTATAATGTTAACGCGTGTAATCATCGTCTGGTTGAGCGAATCGTATTCCCCCATTTAGCGGAAGATATTGAACATTTCCGATTTTATGTAAACAACCTATTAAGAAATGTTATCATCTGAAGTGTTAACTCATTGAAATGATTAAAATTGAATGTTTACTTTAGATATCATTCATTAATAAAAATAATAAAGCATGTCATTTTAACACTAGAAAACATTCGTATCTAAAGTTTGTACCCGACACTTCACATGTAATATGTTCATCATATATCCTTTACGAACCTCTATCTAAAGGGGTAAATCCCTCCCTCCCTCCGACGTGTTTTTTTATACAAGAGATTTCTGTTAACACTGAAGAAACATAAGCAAAGTTTAGCGAAATAGG